CGTCACTGGCGAGGGCAGGAGCACCCCCTTGACAGACGAAGGACAGGCAGGGTCAGAGACCAGAGCGGTGGCGTAGTCAAGGCGGCGGGTAGTGGCGAAGTCAGAGACCGCAGCGACAAGAGCGTCAAGACGCGACACCGGAACAGACGGGTCGGTAACGAGAGAGGCAAGGACCCGAGGAACAAGAGGACGAGCGGCACGAAGGTAGTCAGACAAAGGTGAAGGCGCAACGATAAGGGAGGACGATGGAGGCGACAAGAGGAGGGGAGGACGAGACACGTTGGAACGAAGCAACATAGGGTGGGAGCGCGAGACAGGGGAGACAGGGCGAGCACGGGAGGGACGGCGAGACCAGACGTGCGACGGAGGCGTCGGGTCAGGAGACAGAGGAGGAGACACAAGAGGGGAACGAGGGGGGAGACGAGCCGGGGACGAGTCCGGGGGGAGGGAACACAGGGCCGTAGACCGGAAGAGGAGGGGACGCCAAGAGAGGAACAAACGCAGGGTCAGGGGATGGAAGGCCGAGCAGGCGAAGGGCTGACACCGGCGGGGACGGCGGCTGCTGCGGCACAACACCGATGCCAGGGCCGAAAGCGGCTCAACGGCTACCGTCGGAACACTCCACCCCTGCACCCCTAGAAGGAACACCCCCAGAGCAAGAAACACCTCCAGCACCGGTACCACTCCCAACTCCAGCACCACCAGAGACAATGAACGGTTGCGGCTGCAGTGACTGCGGCTGCGGCGGCGACGACTGCTGCGGGAGTGGCGACGACTGCTGCTGCGGCGGCGGAGGAGTCACCGGTGGGGGGGGGGCTACCAACAAGGACTAGGCCGCAGGACCACCAGAGTCAGCAGACTCCTCAACCGGGACAACCGACGGGAGGGGAGTTACGTGAGATACACCGGACGGGGCAGGACGCAGCAGGGGCAGGGCTGGGGCTACCAGGGAAGGGGGAACCAGGAACAGGGGGGGTTTAACCAGGGGACCACGGTGTGGAAAGCGGTCTTAGAAGGAGACAGACTCGTCAAAGGTAACGTCGCGGGAGTGAAAGAAACGGTGGGACGGCAGGTGGTAAAAGTGTCAGTCGGACGAGTCAAGGGGGAAACCAAGGAAGACACAGGGGACGGTGCGGGCAGTAAGCTTGTCCGTGCCAGAGGCACGAACGTGAGCAAGGCAGCCCCAGATGTGGAACGCATACGCGTCACCAGGAGACTTGGTCCAAAGAAGGGTCGGCGAAACCTGCGGCCGCTGAGGGTGGGACCAGACGTTAAGCTGGTGAGCAGCGTAGCTAACTGCGAACGGCCACAGAAAATGGGGTGCACCGGCTTGGATCATGGAGGTACGAGCCACCTCCATGACCAAACCGATGCGTTGCTCAGCGGCCCCATTCTGTTGCGGCGAGTCCGGTAGGGTGAGCGTCTGGGTGATGCCCTCCGCACGATAGAAGCGCCCAAGGACACCGAAGGCAAACTCGCCCCCACGGTCAGAGTGAAGACATAGGACAGGGAGACCGCGGTGGACACACACAGCGACTAGCCAGGGGATAAGAACGTCAGGCACGTCGGCCTTCCCCTCGAAGGGCAAAACCGTGGTGTAGTGCGTGTAGTCGTCGACAAGCACGAGGAAGTAGCGCTCACGACGTGGTCCATGGACGGGGGCGGGGCCCCAGACGTCCATGTGCAAGGTCAGTAGTGGTGCGGTGATGGGGGGGAAAGAGGAGGAGTGAGGGGCACAGCGAAGCTGACCCTCAATGCAGGGTGTGCACGGTGGCGTTGTGGAGGGGGGGAACTCGGAGAACGACCCTGGGAGACCTAGGACAAGACCGTGCTGTGACATGTAACGCAGACGCGGGAGCGCAGGGCTACCTAGACGGTGGTGCCACAGGACGGTCGGGTGAGTGAGCGACTGACACGAGCAGGCCGCTGCAACCTGAGACGACACAGCTACCTGGGGAGGCATCCGAACCGGGGGAGGCGCCGTGTCCAGTGTGAACAGGCCAGACACCGGGTCCCGGGGGAACGTAGCGAGGGGAGCACCAGTGACCGCCTCAGCACAGACTGCAAACCGCTCGTGACCAGGGAACGTAGTGGTGACGCCAAGGTCCTAGAGGCAGCCAACACCAACTAGGTTCCTGGAAAACGAGGGGACGTGCAAGCCTATAAGCGAGCCCGAAGGAGCCGCCGAACAGGGAGGGGTGGTAGAACTACGAGGGACAACCGGACCGGAGGAGGGGTCAGCAAGGGGAACCGCAGCAAGAGCAGCAAGCGGGGACATCGTAGTGGAGTCGCGGAAGAAATACCGGGAAGCGCCAGAGTCCAGGGTGAAGGTGAGCGCAGCAGTGGCGGCCGGGGTCGACACAGCAACCGAGGAACCTAGGCTAAACAAGGCAGGAGGTCCTACGCCTGACGCAGCAGGTGGGGCAAGACTAGGCACACCTACACTAGGCAACAGGGATAGTAAGAACCAGTCACACTAGAGTCATCAGCATACAGCACATACAGGGCAGAGCTAAGCTCATCCATGTCCATATCAGAAATCGGAATACTACGATGAAGCAAGCTGTACGAGTCGGGGAGGTCGGGCGATGGGCCCAAGCGAAGACGAAACAGGTCGTCAAGGCGACGGAAGCTGCGAACAGGGGAGTGACCGGTCTTACCGCAAACGGAGCCGCGGCGAGGACCGGTCAGGAGCTGGTACAGGTAGCGCCCGTCACCCGAACTGCCACCCGGGAGCACACCACGCGCACGTCCACCACCACGCCCACTGCCGCCACCAGCGCCAGGCCACCCGGGCGGGAGACCACTCGCCCGCCTCTGCTGCTGCGGATGCTGCGACTTCTGCGGTTGGAGCTGGGGCTGCGGCTGCGGGTGGTGCTGGTTCGGCTGCGGCTGCGGGGAGGGCTGCTCGGCGGGACCAGGAACAGTCCCCTCGTCTGCGCCACCACCAGGCGCCCCGACTCCACTACCACCTCCACTTGCACCCCCACCCCCTCCACCGCGCCCAGCCTTGGGGTGGCGACCCTTCCCCGGACGGAACTGCGCTGCAGCAGCAGTCTCAGCCACAGCAGCAGAATAGTCGAAGAAGGTGTACTGGGCAGGGGCACAACCCTGAAAGATAGGGACCGGCACAGTACCGCTAGTCTGGGCGATAGAGCGGTGGCGGGTCTCTATGGCAGTTAGGGTGTCGACAAAGTCGGTGAGGGTGAGGTCACCGGGGTGGACGCTATGGAAGCGGTCGCGGGCAGTGGCAAGATGGTTAGGGAGGCGGGTGGCTAGCAGGTAGAGGGCAGAGCAGAGGGGCGGCTGATGGGCTCTAAGCTGGGTCTCGGTGCAGGCAGAACGCCAGGTCGCGTCTATCGTGCGCAGGTGGGCGGCAAGGTCAGCGACAGTGGGGAAAGACGCAAGGTCAGGGAAAAGCATCGGCAGGATCAGGCAACCTACGGAGGCAGCAAGCGGGGTGGAATAGCGCTGGACAACAGCATCTAGGAACGTCTGCGCAGTCGTGACGGACTTAAAGCGAGGGCGCTCAGATAGTGGGAGGGCATGGCTGATAGCAAGCTGCGCAACAGCGTCACGCGACAGCCAGACAGAGCGAGCAAGGGCAGCAGCGGCAGCGGACTCGCGCTCAGCAGACGAGGGGTCAGCGGGCAGCGCAGCAGGGGGGTCAGGGCAGGGGAGCGTACCGTCAAGGTGGACAGACAGCGAGTGGCCATCCTGCCGCTGACCAGTGAGATGGCGGCGGAGGTCGACCAGCCACGCGTCAAACTCAAGCGGCTGACCCTCAGCATCAAAGTGAAGCACCTCCGTCATTAGGAACGATGCAGAGCAAGGAAGGGCAGTGCAGTGCAGGGAAATGCGATACTGTGCGGTGCAGTGCATTGTAGGGCGGTGCAGTGCGGTGCTGTGCGACGCTGTGCGGTGCAGTGCGGTACAGGGCAGTGCAGTGCGGTGCTGGGCGGTGGAGTGCGGTGCAAAGTGGTGGAGAGCGGCTCCGGGCGGTGCAGGGCAGTGCAGAGACGGGCCGGCCGCGTAGCGAACCCGGGGCCGGCTAGGAGAGGGGCCGGGGCTGACGAGGGACGGGCGCGAGGGACCGGTGAGGAGCGGGCGCAACAGGGGCGCGAGAGGCCGGCTAGGAGCGGGCACGAATGGCCAGGAGGGGCCGGCTAGGGGCGGGCCCGAACGGCCAGGGCGCCGGCTAGGAGGGGCGCGACGGCCAGGGGGGCGGCTAGGAGCGAGCGCGACGGCCAGGGGGCCAGCTAGGAGCGGGCGCGAGCGGCCAGGGGGCCAGCTAGGAGCGGGCCCAACGGCCAGGGGGGCCGGCTAGGGGCGGGCGCGAACGGCCAGGGGGCCGGCTAGGGGTGGGCGCAACGGCCAGGGGGCCAGCTAGGAGCGGGCGTGAGCGGCCAGGGGGCCAGCTAGGAGCGGGCGCGACGGCCAGGGGGGGCGGCTAGGGGCGGGCGCGAACGGCCAGGGGGCCGGCTAGGAGCGGGCGCAAGCGGCCAGGGGGCCAGCTAGGAGCGGGCGCGACGGCCAGGGGGCCGGCTAGGAGCGGGCGCGAACGGCCAGGGGCCCGGCTAGGGGCGGGCGCGAACGGCTAGGGCGGGCCGACTAGGAGCGGGGCACGAGGGCGGCTAGGGCCTAGGGTGGATGCGCGGGCGGGCGAGAGGAACCTAACCTACTCATGATACCATGTTAGAAAGAGAGTGAATGGAATAGGAAGATAGGGCAATATAGCCTAGTGTGTTGTACCCTCTAAGGCACAAACCTGTATAGTCTACAGTAACAACATAAGTTATGTTTGACACATTTGCCCCCCCCCCCCCCCCCAAAGTATTTCCCTCCCCCCCCCCCCCCCCCCTCCCCAAAGTCTTTCCCCCCCCTCCCCAAAGTCTTTCCCCCCCCTCCTCCCCTCCCCCCAAAGTCACTCTGATCTGATGTATGGTACCTACCTATGCGTATTATGACAGGCCATGCTGTACTTCAACCACAAGGAATACGGATGCTGTCATTGCTAGAAAAGGTGCAAGCTTTTTCAATTTCAGCAATGAACACCCACACTCACAGGCGCACACACACACGCACTCAAACACAAAACATATCTATGAGGTAGTTGTTGTTGAGGGATCGAGAGGGGACCCACAAAACCTGGTGCAGTACCCAAGGAAATGTCCGTAGGGGAAAGTCCGATGCTACGCATGCTGTACCAAAGGAAACGCCACAAGGAGGTGAAGGGAACAGACCGCCTCCAGGGTTTCACTCGCGCTCTCTGTCTCACGCCATGGAAGCCGCCAAGTACCGTGCCTCGAATTTCCAAGGGGGGTGCAGCTGGAACTTGCCCACCGGTGGCAGGTGTATCATGGCGAAGTGACCCTTCAGGCGAGCTGTCAGTGTTTGTCGGTGATAGTGGCGTCAACATCCACCACAGGAGGAAGGGCTTTCTGCCTACGCACTGCAGGTAGTCCGATACGGGAGTAAAACAGGAATGCATGTGACAACGAAGAGAGGGAAGGGGGTGGAAGAAGAGTGTTATTTTGGTTAGAGGAAGCTTGTGGGACGGAAAATTTGGGTGAGAGAGGAGTTGACACAATGCTTGAGCCAGTTGCACAACAGTGTCGTGCTAATTGGACACCAATATTATCTCATCTCACCATCATCATCATCATCCTCCCACCACCACCATTCACTCATTACCATCTCACCATCAACACCACCATCCTCATCATGATTCTCATCACCATCATCACCATCATCATCACCATCATCATCATCATAATCTCACCCTCATCATCCTCAGCCTCTGCAAAGACGTCGTAGCTGAAGTCCACACGGGAGAACCGCGGGCGATCACGCAGGAACGTGCCGTTCTCATCTGCACATTTTGCGGTGCAGCATGGTGCAGTGCAGTGAATCGTCGTGCATTGTTGTGCGAGCATGGGGAAGGATGAACACCCACTTTGGTGAGTGGTCCAGTAAGGCTGAGAAGCTGTGTGCTTGGTGCCGGAAAAATACGCCTTCGGGACAAATCAAAGTGGGCGAGGAGGGTAGGGATGCGAAAAGGCCAAACAGGAGATGTGGACTGCACGGATCAATGACGAACAAGAGAGAACCTCAATCTAGATTGTCTGAGAGCGAAAAAATAGTGGGGGGTATGCGTGCATGTGTGAGTGGGAGTGTGCGCACGGTGATGGGTCCAACAGAGAGTCGTGAGTGGAGGATGGAGGAGTGGGAGTTGGGTGGATTGGAGCTTGGTGGACTGGAGTTGGGTGGAAAGGAGATGGGTGGAGTGGAGATGGGTGGAGTGGAGTAGGGTGGAGTGGAGTAGGGTGGAGTGGGGGGGGGCATACATCTGAGCGGGTGGAAGCAGCGGGGACATGCCATCACTCCCTGAAAGAAGTCGCTGGGGGTGATGGAGGGAGAGACACACGGGGGCAAGATGGGGTGCAGATGGGGGGCACATATGGGGCACATGGGGGGCGGATGGGGAGCGGATGGGGGGCGGATGGGGGGGACACGGGGGGCACATGGGGGGCGGATGGGGGGCGGATGTGGGGCAGATGGGGGGGACATGGGGGGCAGATTGAGATGGTTGACATTAAGCAAGACATTAGCATGATGTGCGTGAGCCCCCCCCTCCTCACACAACTAGGCTTGAGGGGGGACGCACGAACAGCAAAGTGCTGGCTGGAGGTACAAGGTAGAAAACAACGAGAAGGTGCCTGTTGAAAAAGCCAGAAGTCGAGATCCGTGCACGGCAAATAAAAGGAGAGAACCACGAGGATGAGAACACGGGCAGGGCAGGGTGTTGGCACACGCAAGTGAACTGACTGCAGGAGAGGGCCGAGGGGACGGCGCGATGGAGGGGATGGCGCGGAATGGAGGGGATGGCGCGGAATGGAGCATAGAGCATTGGGAATGGCAAGTTCAAATCAACGAGAGTCAAACATACGCGAAAGCAGAGAGGCAAGGAGGACATGCATGCATGCATGCACGGGCGAGTGGTGAGCACCTGTGGTAGTGGAACTGATGGCCGCACCACGGACACTGAGACAAGGAGGGAGGGCGGATAGCAGGGAGTGGGGAGGGGAGAGAGAAAGTGCAGCATATGTGTGGTTTTGGGGCGCCTCAAAGCGAGTGCTGAGTTTTGAGGCGCCTCAAAACTGAGCACCTGTGGTAGCGGAACTGATGGCCGTACCACAGCGACAGGTGCTCCTGTGGTAGCGGAACTGATGGCCGGACCATGGACACTGAGACAAGAAAGAGACAGCGAGGAGGGCGGATGGCAGGGAGTGGGGAGGGGAGAGAGAAAGTGCAGCATGCCTGTGGGGGGGAAAGAGAGAGAGAGAGAGAGAGAGAGAGAGAGAGAGAGAGAGAGAGAGAGAGAGAGAGAGAGAGAGAGAGAGAGAGACTGTTTCGCCATCCTCGAACCCCACAAGGGGCTCGAGTAGGCCCAAGACCCCCCTAGGTCGGCTTTTTCACGTACCTATACCCCGTCCCGTTGCCTAGCTTGTACACAGGATTCAGCAATACAAACGACCGCTCGAGAGAGAGAGAGAAGTGGGAATGGGAAGCGCGAGGTGAATTCAGCCAAGACACAGAGCACCCCCTCCCATTCCCCTCCTCCCCTCTTCAACCTATCCACCTATCCACCCGTCCACCACTCCTCCCACCATTCCCAGCAGGGACGTTACAGACCCCTCCCATTTCCATGTTCATCCTATATCACCCATCCCTCCTATCACGCCTATCCCCCCTATGCCTCCTATTCCCCCTATGCCTCCTATTCCCCCTCCCGCCACTCCTCCCGCCACTCCTCCCGCCCCTACCCCCGCCACTCCTCCCGCCCCTCCTCCCGCCCCTCCTCCCGCCCCTCCTCCCGCCCCTGCTCTCACCATAGCGAACGCCAGCACCAGCAGTTGCGCGGCGCCCCCAGCAATCCACGTGGCAGCTGTGAGGACCACGTCCAGCATGATGAAGATGAACTGGCGCACGTGGATGGGTGGCGCGTGGGTGGCACGTGGATGGCTCGTGTGGGGGGAGGGCCGGAGAGAACAAATGAGGGAGAGAAGGAGAGAGTGAGGGAGACATGGCGGAGCCGGATGGGACAAATCACTCATGTGGCTCATCAAGTGGCACGTGGATGGCACGTGGATGGCTCGTGTGGGGGGTTAATAAGCTCCTGTGGTTTTCTGTGAGACTCGTAAATTGTGTTTAGCCACCTCACGCAAGCACCCACCCACTCCCTCACTCCCTCCATCCCTCCCTCCCTCCCTCCCTCCCTCACTCCCTCCCTCACTCCCTCCCTCACTCCCTCCCTCCCTCACCCATATCTGCGACAGTCCCTCCAGCACGCGCTCCCCCGTGCCGCCCAGCGTGCCGTGAGCCACGCCGTGCATGCCGCAGATCGCGCCGAACACGATCCCCGACAGGCCCAGTCGCCGCACGTCCGCCACAATTCCCGCCAGCTGCTTCTGCGGATCGCTGCTACTGCTGCCGCTGCTGCTGCGGCTGCTGCTGCGGCTGCTGCTGCTGCTGCTCGCGCTTCCCCCCATTCCCCCGCTTCCGCCGCTTCCGCCGCTCCCCCCGCTCTTATTACCGGCGGCGAAGTTGCGGAAGTTAAAGCCGCTGCCCTTGCCGAAATCCTGGAACGACGACGCGAAGCCCTTAAAGCCATCGAAGCTGCCGAAGCCGTTGGTGCTGGTGCTGCTACTGCTGTTGCTACCACCACCGCTGCTGCTGCCACTGCTGCTACCGCCGTTGTCGCTGGTGCCGTCGCCGCCGCCGCCGCCGCCGCTTCTGCTGCTGCTGGAAGCGCTGGCGTTCGTGCCGCTATCCCCGCCTGTGTCGGCGCGTTTGGTCCAGTTAACGCCGTCGGAGCCAGACCCGGCGCAACGGACTGCCAGCGCGGCTGGTCTGCGCAGGAGCAAGGACGGACGGGCAGTGGTGAACTGGAGTGGCAACTTGAAATGGTTACATGGAGCGCTAACTTGCCGTGGTTATTTTGGCGGCGAGTGGTTGGGAACGGAGGGCGGTTCTTTGTAAGGAGAGAAACAGAGAAAGAGAGAGAGAGAGAGAGAGAGAGAGAGAGAGAGAGAGAGAGAGAGAGAGAGAGAGAGAGAGAGAGAGAGAGAGAGAGAGAGAGAGAGGTAGGGGAGGACAAAGGGGCAGCCGACATACCTCGTGAGTGGTTGCCGCCACGAATCACCGTTCCGCCGACACGGCAGCGATCGGCGCGCCCCTGCGCCTCCGCCCACCGCGCCGCTTCTCCTCCCGCCAACCACTGCGCCGCCCGAGCCTCGGACTCCCAAGCCCAGACCTCGCGGCGGCGAAGAGAGCTGTAGCGCGTCCCACGGCTGTAGCGCGGCTACGGGCCGTAGCTGGGCTCCGAGCGACGACGAGTGATCCCGTCGATTAGCCACGCAGCAGCAGCAGCTGCAGCTGCTGCTGCAGCTGTAGCAGACAGAATCGCGCTGCCGGGCTGCCCCTGCCTTTGCGCGTGCCCTTGCCCCTGTTCCTGTTTCTGTCAAATGTCGAGTCTTCCTCGACTCGTAATGCACGTGGCGGGCTGCGACTGGCGCCCCGCGATCGGCTGAGGCGGGGAGGGTCCGCGCAAGAGCGGCCGCGCCGGTTCTGCCCGCAGCTCCCCTGATTTCCGCGCAGGCAGGCGCCATGGGCTTCCGCGGAGCACTTGTATATCCTGTAACGCGTGATTCTATAGGGATGTGCGAATGACGGAGGACTGCGCGGCTGGAGGGCCAGAAGTCGGGCGCCAGCGGCGGATGATGCGGCTGATGTGTAAAACGTGTGCGTGAGATGTGAGATTCGAGTGAGATGTATTCTGAGTCGTGCAAAACGACTTCGCAGCTGCACTTTTGAGTAGACTAAAAAGTCATGGCGTCTTCTCAGCTGCACCAGGGAGTGACAGCGCCGGTGGGGTTGATCGCAGGGCCTAGTAAGCGGTAAGGCATGAGCCCGTCTCTTCGTGCCCAGCCGCGAATCAGTCCGTGCTGCTGTCGAAGGAGGATACGTAACCGGTCCGTGTGGTTTCCAGCTAGTTAATTACGATGAGGAGAACGGTATATATTCCGCCATAACATGAAGTGCAACGTCAGGACAGACTCTTTAGAGGCGATCACCGGCCCATCGTGGAGTTATGGGCACCTCAACCCGCAGTGTATGTGTCTGTGATCCTGTCCTGATGCATTTTGAAAAATTGCGCTATAAATACACACTGAGGAAAATGGCGGGTTGGGGAGAGGCATGAGGTGGGGGCCGGGGGGTTCTGGTACAGTAAGGTGCGACAAGTTTGAATTTGTGTGGGAAGTGACGTCGGCGACAGTACGTGTAATGCGGGGGTGTGTGCGTGGACGGCATTTCTGCTGCCAGTGCGCCACTCGCGGCGGAATTTCTTTTCGAATCTGAGTGTTGTGTGCGATGCATTACGGTCTCTTCATATACTGCCTGGTATGGGCGGTTGCAGTGCGGTTTTTTGGCTCAATGTTCGGTGAGATTGTCGGGTCAGCAATTCTGCCGTGCTTCGGAAAATGTTGGCGGGAAGATGTGAACCACTATTCCAGCGTGGCACAACTCTCCATCCTCTCATCTTTTTCCGCCCCACGAGGGAGGCTTACTCCTCCATCGCTATGATGTCATGCCTTGCAGCCTGTCAGTATTTCAGATAACGTTGGCTGTTGCTGGCTAAGTTCATGCACCTGTGTACAGCTATGGTTATAAATGTGACAAGGTTTACATACAGCAGAGCAGACAAAAGAAAATTGGTATGCTAATTGCATTTCACTTCCATCATCAAACTTGCTACCCTTTGATGACTTAAATTGTTGAGCGTATGCTTCTTCTTGCAAGTTCAGATATGATGTTTATTTTGTTACTCTTTATATGCCCTATCCCAAATATGTTTTTTTGCGAAGATTCTTACAAGTTCCTTGAATCAAGATTCTGACGAGCATCAAGTCCCCTTGCTGCAGTAAGGCGGCTCCTCCTGACGGCTCTGGCTTATCACTGACACTCGCGGGTCAGCAATTGGACCGTTTGAGGCTGGGAGGGATCTTTCCGCATGTCACGGGCATCCAGCCAGTCATTTGTCGCTGTCAACGCGCTAAGGCCAACAAGGTTTTGTATCAGCCTCGTCAGCACCACGTGGCGGGGAAAGTCAAATAGCTGCTGTGTGTCTGCTCCTTCGGTTGGAGGTTTGGTTGCTTGCAACACGTTTAGAAGCTTGGCACGCCACATCAGAAAGCTCGCCAAACCTTGCCACCAAGCTAGGTTTTCCAGAATGCCTAGCCAAGCCTACCAGGCCACAGCACTCAGCCAATCCCGTATTCCTGCGGTTTTTGACAGACCTCCTGGCGAGCCTGCTTCGCCCCACGCCAGAACAACTTGACCTTGTGTCTGACCCAACCATGCACAACTGGTCAACCATGCCTCGCCTCCCTCCCTACCTCACACCATGGCATGGCAGTCAGTCAAGTCAGTCGGTCAGGCAGAATCCCGCCGTTCTGAACCAAACCTTCACATGCAAAATGAACAGCAGCCGTCCGTCTGCCTCGTCCTAACTCCATCCGTAACCAAACCTCAAACCAGCAACTGTACCTCACCCGAACCAAACCGAACCTAGGACCATCAGACCCCTCCCTTGAACTACACTGTACTGGGACCTGCCACTTAGACCGCGTCTGCCCGGGTGACACCACAGCACCCGCATCAAGTCGAGGTGCACCGCACCCAAAATCCCTTTCTAACACCGCAACCATGAGTAGAACCCATAAACCGAGCTGCACCGGAATCGTTCAGGCCTGAATCGACTGCACTTGGCATCACCATGGATCCAATCCCTAGCTACTTCGCTGTTGCCTCTTCTTTCTCACCTTCTCACTGCACAGCTTCTTTCCTTCCAGCCTCTGCCGAACTTTGCCTCTTCTTTTCCCGTGTGCCACCTTTTTTGGCATGTTGGCATGCCATTGCATCTTGTCTTGCTTTGCATCGTTCCCGCTGGCGCAAGGTTCTTGCAAGTGCCTGCTCGTCAACCACCTACAGCTTTACGAACCCGCAAGGATCCTGTGGGGAGAGTTATGGCTAATCGAGATTCGAATCTGTGGAGAGTAGTGCTTGGGGCTTTCATCTCTTCCACTAATAGCAACTAATAACCTTGATTTAGTGTAGTTCCGCCACTGACCATTAAGGCTAACCCCTGTAATCTGCTGGGAGTCGCCGAACCAACCATCACCGTCGTACCTGCTGGTCCGTTTCGGTTTCAGAAGAGCATCGTCCACTCCAGTCACTCTTCTCGAACTGCTTCGCTTTTCGGCAATAAAGCAGTCGCCCCGTACGTCCACCTCAGACACGAGCGATTGAACTTAGGGAGAGGTCGTTTCCTGTCGGTGCTGAGAATCTGAGCCGCGTCGTGTTACTAATAGTGTGCACCTCGTGACGAGCTAGATTGGAGACAGCGAATTTGGGAGTGGGGGGGGTCAGATTTAGGGGAAGTGAAGATTGTAAGGGACTGCTGATTCCGGGTAGCGTTTTCGGTCCCGATAAAGGCTCAATTCTTAATCTGACGAACCTTCCCGCTTGGCCAAGAACCCAACTCCCTGCTAAGCGGCGCCATCCTTTCTCCGTCAACCATGGGTGCCGAGTTCTCGAAACACGTGGATCGGCTACTGAACGAAGCAGAGACATACCAGCTAGCGGTGCAGTCGACCTTTTCAGAGTACGCCAAGTTGCCTCCAGGATGCGTAGCAGTAATAGGAGGAGGAGGAGGAGGAGGAGGAGGAGGGGAACCAGCCGTGGCGGTTACAAGAGCAGCGACGAAGGAAGGACCAGCGTCCGCTGCGAAGCGAACAGCCCCGGCAGCGGAGGATGACGTGGGGTCGGTGACTCCCTCCCCTGCTTCTCCTGCGCAGTCTGCTGCTGGATCGCCGGGGGTGGAGCAGCGGTACCTGCTGGAAGCAGCTCAAGCCGTCATTAAGGTACCGAGGACATTCGCCCTGCCTTGTCTGTCATTAACGACTCCTTGCACCTGATTAAACCCCCCACTGCTAGTTCCCATAAAGCCCTGTATTCTCCTCACTCGCCCGCCTTTTTTTTTTCAACATCTCCCACACTCCCCGTCTTCCTGTCTTCCCTGCCTCAGAAAGTATCTGCCAAGATGGATTCGCGAGCCAGCCGCCTGTGCCTCCGCCCGCCCACCAAGCGCGACTGCGAGTACGTCCTCTTCCTCTTCCCGTCCCTCGCGGCCTGCTCGTCCCTCTCCCTGCCCCAATTCGAGACGTTCGTCCGCGCCGTCGTCAAGCGCGTGGCCGTGGACAAGGGCCGGAGACTGCTGCTGTTCGTCGCTGGAGGCGTGATGGTGGTGCACACGATCAAGGGGACCATCCGCAAGCTGCCACTTGTCGGCGCGCCAGTGGCCATGGTGGTCAGCGCGGTGTTTCCAACGTCGGTTGTGGGCCCGGCTGTGGGGGTAGCGGGGGCGTTGATGGTGGAAGAGCGGAAGCGGTTGAGGTGAAGACGAAGGGATGTTTAAGAAACGCTCCGTGAGTCTGGAGGAGGAGAGGGGGGGGGGTAGATTAGGAGAGCAAAGAAGAGCGAGAGGAGGAGCAGCAGCAGAAGGAGCAGCAGGAAGAGGAGGAGGAGGTGGAGGAGGATGCTGAGGCTTGATGCTGATGGGTGTGTAGGATGGGGATGAGGGGGAGGAGAGAGGGCGGGCGGGGGGGCGGAAAAGGGGGGAAGAGAGGCGCGCGGTGAAGGGAATGACGATGTGGGCGAAGTGTCGCTGGAGGAGCCAGTTCAGGGACACAATAAAAAGGGGGATGGTTGAGAAATGTGGAAGAATGAGGGGGTTAACCGGAGGTTTGGAGGCAGTTCAATTTATCCGAGACGGTCAAGTGAGCTGTGTGCCGTACACTACTTGTGTGCGTGCACTCCTGGTGCTGTGCCGTGACTGCTTCACCTCGTGGGGGGGTTGGGAATGAGTGCGTGTCTGTTTGTGTGCCCGTGTCTCCTCGTGTGAGACAGCAAAGGATGGAGAGGTGGTTTTGCGGTTGGGGCTTTTTCTGAATGCATGCTCGTCTCCCACTATCGTTCGCTTGTTCTCTTACACACTATCGTTCTCTCTCTTCCTCTCCAGTTCTCATTCCCTCCCTCACCGACTCCCTCACGTGTCACCTCCCTCCCTCACGTATCACCTCCCTCCATCACTTGTCACCTCCCCTCCTGGGTTGTAATTCATTGGTGCATCAGTGTACATGTGTCATTTCTGCATTTGCATCCGTGCCGCTGAGACCTATATCAAGCACCCAGCCCACATTGTTGGTGAGGGGAGTTTCACACTACACCTTCAGCCGTGTCCCTTCCAGCCAACTAACCACTCAATCACTTCCAACCAACCACTCTCCATTCGACTCCATCACCAGTCACTCCCATCTGCCGCCTTTCCCCAGCCTCACAGCTCTCTATGCCGCATGACAACCATCTCGCTTGACCATTTCACTCGACACATAGAGATACCTGCTCTTTGCCAGGTCCAAGGAGTGCTCAAGTCCAGCAGCCAGCTGTGTTGACAGCCAAGCTCCCGTCAGTGCCACTGACAGGTTATCTGTTCAGTTCAGTCTCTTGTCTGACCTGGTCCTGGTCCTACATGCATTAGAATTGACATTTTTCCTAGAATGTTCTCGTCGTTGAATCTAGGGTGCAAAACCCCTTTTTGGACTAGACCAAGCAGCTTCATCATGTCAAATTATATACTTATATAATTATTTGTGAAGGCTTGGTAGGTGTGCTACCTTTCTTAATTCTAGCTTCTCTTACATATTAATGTTATTTTTTAATAATGAATGTTTGCCATGAATGTACTTTTTGTCCGTACTCAACCATACCTGTAGTAATTTGTCTGCTACAATATTTTCGGCAACCCACCAATCACCTAAAAGTGAGTAGTCACCCTGGCAAGTGCTGCATCCAGGACTTCACTTCACTCCAGCCGAGCACGCCACGGGATGGCAGGTCACACCAGCTCGGCGCCTTCCTTCAATTGCGTCACAAACAACAGCCGGCGGCGTTTTGCTGTTGTCAGAAGAGAGGCGGACTGCGTCATTCCACGTAGATCAAGTCAGGCGCGCTTTCCGAGAATAGCGGCTCGTCATGCCAGAAATTCGTGGGTTACGGTTGGTCGGGTGGCGAACACCATCGCACTGGAGCGGTGAACATTGTCCCTCGCATGATGGTGGTGGTGACATTGTTGACCCCCATGGGCTGGCTGGTCTTCTTCCTTGAGAAATGGTCAAAATATTTTGTTTCTACTCGAACCCTTTACTGTACTCATCCCTTATTATTCGACCTCGAGGGTACTCCGTAATTGTTTTCAGCGAGTTTGGCCTGCTCTGAACCAAGGAATTTTGCGTCAAAGCACCAGGGAAGAAACTATCACTTGACCGAATCGATGATTCTCGACAATCCCAAGGGCAATCTCCAGAAGCAGGGCAAGGCGAGTGGAGGAGTGATGGCGGCTGGTGGTATGGAATGGAGTGGAGTGATAGACATGGGTCAGCTCGGCTGACCCTGTGAGATGCAGACAGGCAGCACAGGTCGGTGAAAGCAGGATTTAGTAGGATACAGGCCTGTAGATTGATAAGCTTCCAATGCCGAGGTCCGTATTCATTTCATTCCTTCATTTCCATCCCTATCCCCAGTACCGCCGACCTTCGTGCTTGGTTTCTAGTCCACGCCGTGTTCTTTTTCTTCGTCGTCTCACAAGTAGCTGTGCATCCACGTTTAGAACTAGTGGACCAGAAATTCGCCATACGTAGTGCCGAATCATTCTTAGCATCAAGGTAGATAGGGTATACGAAGTTGCCGGCTGTAAGTAACCTACCGGTGGCATTAGATGCTCGGAATCTACTGCTCAGGTCTAGTTAACATAGTCACCACGGCACGTGAGGCAAAACACAGTACCGATTGCCATTCGCTGTTAGAGAATCTACTGCCGAACGGCATCCCCTCTGGGTCTGGCATATCTAGTGCCTTGATAAATTATTAAAATCCAAGGCGCCGTGTCCAGCGTCCACCGGCAGTGTCAGTGTCCGTGTCCGTGTGCAGAATACTAGAGAGTATTCCTTGTGATCTCCTCTCCTCCGAGGGGCTGCATGGTTACTTCCATGTTCCAGACTCTGCTGGCTCGCCCTGCGTCGCGCAGCCAAGTCCGTGACTTTGGTAAGGCCAGCGATTCATGATTCATGATTCATGATTCATTATTCATTATTCATGATTCATTATCTATGTCCCTCCTGTTTCCGGAAGGAATGGCCCGTTAATCACACCCTTCGACTGGCCATGCGATATTTTGTCGCCTTGTCGATTTTCCCTGCCGTTCTTCGAGCCAGTTTACAGCTCAAACTCGCTTTTTGCAAGGGTAATAGTTCCCGTTCGGTACTCGACATTCTATCCACATTCTCCCGCCAAACTCCGACAACGGTATCTTGCTTCAGAATCAAGAGTCTCAATCGAATTCGCTCTTTTCCCGCAGATGATGCATCCAAGGAGGGTTCTAAGACAGAGGCGGTGAAGAAGCAGGCTCCGTCGGCATCATCATTGTCCGCATCACCGTTTGCTAAAGTAGTCGCTACTTACGAGGACGATGGCCTTATTTGGAATTGCGCGCTCGCTCCCCATCCCACCGGTACGATTCCGTTTGTTTCGTCCGTTCCGTTCCGTTCTGTTCCGTTCGTCAGACAGAATGCGGTCCTGACTTGACGTCCCTCCCGATCCTGTCTTTCCGTCCGGCTCGGGCAGGCTGCGATTAGTTTGTGTGATCTGGTGCTTTCCCGTGCGATCAACGCCGAGCCATTGCTCGCTCACTGAGTCGGCGTGGCCGTCGCTCCTTCGCCGCCTCGCTGGCACCAACGCGCTGGGTGCGCGCTCGAATGAGCTCGAGCGACTGACGACGCTCCTCCAATGCCGTCACACCATGACTGGCAAGATCCTCCATGTCTCCCTGGTACTTCCATGCTTCTACGGTCTACCCACCTCGTTCTCTCTCTATCTTCCCGACTCCACGCGAGGAGTCCATGGCCCTCGCGGACGGCAACATGGTGTGCGAGGGAGGACTTCAGCCGGGTCGACATAGGCGCCTTCGGCACTCTCCCTTCCCCGCGCCTCGCGCGGCGAAGCGTCAGCATCCCGTATTCCCATTGTCTTTCATCCGTGCTCCCTCCGTGATGCCTCCAGGCGAGGTGTCCATGGCCCTTGCGGACGGCAACATGGTGTGCGCCTTCTTTCCCGTGCCTCGCGTGTCAAGGCGTCATCATCCCGTATTCCCATTGTCTTTCCTCCTTGCTTCCCTGGACATCTCTGTGCCCCATGATGCCTCCAGGCGACGTCTCCATGGCTCTCGCGGACGGCAACATGGTGTGCGCCTTCTTTCCCATGCCTCGCTTGTCAGGTTGTAGGTTGTAAGTTGTAACCACCGTTGTCCTCCCTTTCCCTCCCCGTGACTCCAGGCGAGGTGTCCATGGCTCTCGCGGACGGCAACATGGTGTGCGAGGACTTCAGCCGGGTGGAGATAGGCGCGTTCGGAACTCTCGTTGGCGTGTTTGACGGCCATGGCGGGCCGCAAGCCGCGCGATTCGCGGCGGACAGCCTCCTCGCCAACGCGCGCCGTAAGTGTTTCTTTTTCTGTTCGCGTTTCACCCCCCATCTTGGTACGCCGATGAGGAGTCTATTTTTGAGGCGCCTCAAAAATAGACTCCTCATCTTGGTACGCCGATGCCTCCCCAATCGTTGCGGAATGTGCACCGCGGCTAGCACCACCGCGGCCACGGTTCTCTCGCTCTGATCTCGTCACAACGGATTCAGCATTGCCTCAGCAATCTGAATCATTCGTCTCTCGGTGTCTCTTCTGAACAGGCGCGCTCGGAACAGGCCCGTGCCAGGAGGCAGAGGCGCGAAGCCGGGGGGCAAGCGAGGGGGGGGAAAGCTTGCAAGATAGCAGCATGTGGCGCGACGGAGTAGGAGGGGACCCGCCAAGGCAAGGGGCAGCGGTGCAGACGCAAACACCAAGGGAGGAGGCAGCGGCATCAGGAGTAGGAGCGACTGAAGCACAGCTGGTGCTTCCAGCTGCAGAGGCAGCAGCAGCAGCAGCAGCAGCAGCAGAGGCGTCATCATCAGCATGTGACTCACCTAGGCCGGACTCAACAGAGCGCACGAACGAGCACAGCGAGGACCGCAGCAACGACTGCATCAACGACCGTATGAGCAGTGCCATGCTATCCGCGTTTGAAGCCACCGAAGCAGAGCTCCTCTCCTTTGTGCGAGCCTCCTGGCAGCACAAGCCCGAGCTCGCCAACTCCGGCTCCTGCGCCCTCCTCGCCTACTTCCCCGCCCATGGCTCGTCTCTGGTTGTGGCGTCCCTCGGTGACTGCCGTGCCGTGCTGGGGAGGAGACGGCCGCTCGTAGGAGGCCTGCTGGAGAGTGCGCAGAGTGTTGTCAGTGGGATGGGGATGGGGTTGGGCCAGTTTGCTGGTGCTGGTGCTGGCGCTGGTGGCCGGAACAGCAGCAGTGATCATGGGAGCAAGAGTAGGGGGTGGAGGAGCAAGGGCGGGTTTCACAGCTGGGGGAGCAGCCCCAGAAGCAGCAATGGTAGCAGGCACGGTGGCGGTGCGGGGAGGAGTGGTCTGGTTACGAACGATAGTGGAAGCAGCGACAGCAGTCGCGCCAGCAGCGGCAGCTGGAGCAGTAGTAGGAGCGAGAGCAGGACCAGTGGTTTTGGTGGCACTGGTAGTGCTCCCAGTGCTTCTGCTGGTGGTAGTGGTGGGGCAATGGGGTTTCTGAGCAGGTGGATCGGGGGGGTAACAGCAGTGCCTTTATCAGAGGAGCACAATGCAAGCCAGGAGAGGGAGCGGCAGCGGCTGCAGCAGTCCCACCCCGACGACCCCACCGTCGTGATGCACAGGAACGGAGCATGGCGCGTGAAAGGAATCATCCAAGTGACACGCTCCCTCGGCGACTTCTACTTAAAGCACAAGGAGTTCCAGCAGCACCCGCTGGCCAAGCGCTTCCGCCTGGACCACCTGGGCCCGCCCTCGGTGGCGCTGCAACGGCCGCTGCTGAGGAGCGAGCCGAGCGTAGTGCAGGTGGCGCTCGGGGACGAGGACCAGTTTGTGATCCTGGCATCGGACGGGCTGTGGGAGCACATGAGCAGCGCGGAGGCCGTCAAGATGGTCAGCTCGCGACCCAGACAGGTGAGGCAGGGGAGGGCGTCGGAAAGGCAGGGGGAGGGCGGGGAGAAGGGGTTATCGGGGTGGGGCGAGCCAGAGCTTGTTCTTGGACCTAACTAGAGCCTGTCCAGGGTTTCTTCTCCCTAGTCCACTTTGGGGAGAAGTGACAAGATGTTCTTCAGCTAACCTGGTTCCGTCTCTCCCCTCCCTCTGCTTTTCCTTTGATCCCGCAGGGCATAGCGCACTATCTTGCCCGCACGGCCATATCGCGAGCAGCTCGCAAGGTGGGGCTGAGCCTCCTGGAGCTGCGGCTGCTGGACCCTGTGCACCGGCGCAAGGTGTATGATGACATCACTGTGATCGTGGTGTTCCTGGTCAAGCACACCCAGGCAGCTACAGCTGCTGGTAAAGCTGATGCTGCTGTGCGCGTGGAATCTAGGAGCGCTGCCCCTTTCGCTGCTGCTGATTCGCTTTTTGGAGGTGACGACCCTGTTGGAAGCAACAAGGCAGAGGGGGTTGCTGTCAATGCAAGGACCACAAGTGCCAGCAGCAGCAGCAGCAACAGCAGCAGCAGCAGTGAGGGTAGCAGGGTTGGCAATGGAAGCCGTGGGGGGGGGTGCGGGAAGGTCAGCAGCAGCGCCAGCAGCAGCAGCAGCACTGTCTCCAGTGAGAGCTTATCACCGAGATCGCCTCACCACCCTCCTCCTCCTGCTCCTCCTCCCTCTGCTGCTGACGCTGCGGTCACTTCCAACACAGTTGCTCGTTCCACGCTCATCTCTGCTGCTACGGCCCCTGCTGCTCCTGCAGGTGATTCCTTCCCTCTGGCCTCTGAATCTCCCAGTGCTGCTACTGGTGATTCCTGCCTTCCTGTGGTGCCATCCTCCCATCCTGCCCATGTGGCCCTTGTGAGTCCAGCAGCTGCCCCCGAGGCAAGTGCGTTGAAGGCAGAGGCACCTTTGCAGGAGGTGATGGCACGGGGCTCAGCAGCGATGCTGACCATCTGCAGTCGTTGGCAGTGATGGTGACGAGGCATGAGCCGATTGTGTGTGGTGGTGTGAGGTGTGGAACATGGGAGGGGTAATTAGGGGGTTCTGGCTGTTCTGCTGTTCGTGAAATTATGGGTTGCGTGCATGCACGGGCTTATGGAGGGAGACAATGTAAAGACCATAAGTCTTTCTGCATGGATGGTTGGGTTGCTGTTTTTCCTTTTTTTAGAGAGTAGTAGCATACGTGCATTGCAACTATGGAAGCAATAGATGCTTCTGTTATGAAAAATTACGTTTAATAATGTGTTTGTTCCTTGTTTACACATTGTTATACTTCAAGTTATAAAGCTGCTTATAATTTAGAAGGATTTAGGGTGATATCTGATATCTTATTGCGACTGTCGAGCAGGCCAATCGCCATCGTCAATTTCGATGCCTCCAGCCCAGCCCACAGAAGAAACGTTGTCGGAGAGCAGGCGATAACATGCACCCCGATTTGCCCCAAGGCAACAACTTCCAGAGAATTTACAGGGATGAGAAATTTCATAGCGCGGTTCAGTGAGGTACACCGAGGTCAAAAGTGTGGTCCCGCCCGAGGTTCGGGAGATTTGTGGTAGGCAGCCAGCCAGACATGGCCTGTTGCATCCTCGTTGCTCGTTGCTGGCTTCGCCTGCTGCAACAAGGCGATTGGCTGTCGTCCTCAGGCGGGCTACCTCGTCTCAATTTTCTGCTTGGAGAGGACAGGTACGGTAACCGTATCATCCTCACTCTCCCTTCCCTGGTCACAAGAAACTTACGATCTGATGATCCATCCGCACACTTCCCTCCTGCACTTTCTCAAATCCACCTCTCGAGTCCTCGCTGTTTCAGGCCCGCCTCTCGTGAACCGCGCGATTTGCGCGCAAGATAACCGCCTCACGTTCTAGAGGGGAGGGCAGCGGTGCTCGTGCTCCGCCGATCTTCTATGAGGCGCCTCGCGCGCCTGTAGCTCCGCCGTCTCGTTCCGAAACGCCTCGAAACCTCCCCCATGAGCATGAGCGCGTTCAACGTCTCCTCCAATCCCGCCCGCCGGCTTGCGCCGGTCTCCACGCAAGGCTGGGCGGGCGGCGGACGGGGTGCGGGGGGAGGCGGAGGGGGAGGCGGAGGGGGAGGCGGAGGGGGAGGCGGAGGGGGAAGTCCGCGGAATGCGGCGAAGCGGGTGGTGCTGCGTCGGCGCGCTGTGTTAGCTTTGGTTCTGGTGCTGGTGGTGGGGGTCGCCGTGGTGCTGCCGTTGTACACGTGGAGCTCTAACCGCAACTCGCGCGGCGGAGCCGCAAGGTGAGGCACTGCCCGGATCCCAGTTGACTTCCGCCCTTGAAATTTGCCGTAGATTTTGCCGTTTGTTTTACCAGCACTGCTGTTTACGAATTTACCAGCTGTTTCTCCCTCTCTCTTGACACCTACCGTCAGCTTCCCCTGCTCCATCCCTCCTCCCCCCCTTCGTCCCCTCCCCCCTTCGTCCGCTCCGCGTTCTTCCCCTCCGCTTTGCGGCTGCCTTCCGAAACATTCCGACACGAATTCCCCATACCCGATTTGCGTGATTTGCGGTACCCATTCGCGGAATCCGAACCCCCATTGCTCAGCTTTACGCCGCAGTCGCTGCTAGCGCGAGCGCTGGGCCTGTCCGCGGCGGAATGCGCGCACAGCAGCAGCGGCGCGGATGCGCCGTTGGGGGGAAAATCGATGGCGGAGATTGAAGGCGAGCGGAGCGAGGAATGGGGCGGAGGAGGTGGGGGGGCAGCGGCAGCGGCAGCGGCAGCAGGGGAGCAAGAGGAATGGGGGGACCAAGTGGAGGCTGATCTGGATGGATTTGGTGAGTGGGGATGCGTCTGTTGGTTGGAGCGGAGAGAAGGTTTTTTCTTTCTCTTTTTCTTTTTTAGACGTCTCAGAATCAACCTCCTAGCAAGTGGAGGCTGATCTGGATGGATCTGGTGAGTTTGGATGCGTCTGATGGTGGGAGGGGAGATTCAGGGCTTTGGCTGATAGGAGCACACCTTTGATTGCGTCGTGTGCATGTGGATGTGCATGTGGATGTGCATGTGGATGTGGATGTGGATGTGGATGCGGATGCGGATGCGGATGCGGATGCGGATGTGGATGCGGATGTGGATGTGCATGTGCATGTGAATGTGGATAGAGTGTGCATGTGAACGTGCATGTGGATATGAATGCACATGTGAATGTGGATAGAATGTGCATGTGAATGTGCATGTGGATGTGAATTCGCATGTGAATGTGGATAGCATGTGGATGTGCATGTGAATGTTGATAGAACGTGTGTGCGGATGTGCACGTGAATGTGGATATGGAGTTGTCTTCTTCAGTGTGGGCATTATTCACGAATGCAACTCGGTTCTCTTCGGTTTGGCTGTGATAGGGTTTTTGAGAATTCTCAAAACCTTTACAGCCTGAATTATCACACAAGCTACTCAGCACCCTTGTTTTGAGGCGCCTCAAAATTTAGTTTTGAGGCACCTCAAAATTTAGTCACGCAAGCTACTCAGCACCCTTGAGAGTTTCATCCATTCCGCTTTCGTTTGAGCTTGCTGAGGTTTCTGTGCCGAGACCGGAAGCAGTCCGAGCAGTCCGAGCAGCAGCAGCAGCAGCAGCAGCAGCAGCAGCCTGTCTGTTTGTTCCGAATCAGTTAAAGCCCGTGTGCTGAATTCCTGCAGCACCAAAACACCCCATCACATATTGTGGTACCCGCTCGCCCTCCCGCCCTCCCTCCCCCCGACCGGCCTCTCCCCCTCCCCCTCCCCCTGCCTCCTTGCGGAGCTGAGTGCATGCGCTCCCCGTTCGTGTCCTCGGCCAATGCACAACAGGGTGTTTTTGAGAATTCTCAAAAACACCCCACAACATCCCCAGCATACCCTCACGGCACTCTCTCACACTCCCGCCTTCCCCCCCCCCCTCCCCATTCACCCTTCCCCGATCGTACCAGCTGAGCGCATGCGGTCCCCATTCGTGTTCCAGCCATCCGGATACCCCCCCTGGATCTTCCCCTCCTCTGTTGCTGCTGCTGCTGCAATTCCCGGCCAACAAGCCGAGGGACTGGCGTCAGACGCAGCAGCAGCAGCGGAAAAGGAAGCAGCAGCGGTGGCTGCGTGGCGAGAGGGTTTGAACCGGCAGGATCTAGAGTGCGAGAATTTCTGGGGAGATGGATTTACAGAGGTGCACACGCTGCTAGGGACCCCGCCCGAGGGCACCGTTCAGCATGCACCGTGGGATGGGGACGTGGGGGGGGAGGCAGGTGAGGGAGGAGAGGGAGGAGAGGCGTGGGTGGCTGGGCGAAACGAGGGAAAAGGAGGGGGGGATGGGTGGTTGCGGTGCACGCGCAACCCGACCCTCGCGTCGTCTGTGTGCGAGGCTGGAATGATCGGCGTGTTCCCAGAGAGGATCACTATGGCGCAGGGCGGGGAGGAGATTAAAGACGTCATGGGGCGGGGAGAGGATGACGAGTATCCCACCTGCGCGGAAGGGGCGTTCCAGATTCTGCTGAAGGGGTTGGTGGTGGAAGAGATAGGCCAGGGGAAAGAAGGGGGACGAGGGGGAGGGGGAGGGGGAAGGGAGGGGCGCGGTTTGGGAGAGAGAGGAGGGGCAGGGGGAGCGGGGGGAGGGAGTGGGGGAGCGAGAGAGGGAGGTGGGGAGGGAGAGGGGAGTGCAGCAGCGGAGGGTGGTGGGTCGGTGGCGGTGGGGGTGGCTCCGGGGAGGATCGATGAGGTGGTGAGCGACTATGGCAACACACGGGGGCTGCTGAGGAGCGTGCGCACTGCGGCGAGGATGCAGTGTGGCATGGTGAGTGTGTGCGTGAGTGTTTTGAGAAGCGTCAAAGAGCGACTATGGCAACACGCAGGGGTTGCAGAGGAGTGTGCGCACTGCGGCGAGGATGCAGTGCGACCTGGTGAGTGGGGGTGGGAGGGGCTGGGAGTGCGAGCGAGTGTGTGTATGAGTGGTTTGCGATGCCTCAGAAATCGAGTTGGGCATCACACAGGCGCGGATGAGGAGTGGGCATTCTGCTGTGAGGATGCAGTTTGGCATGGCCGCATGGTGAGCTGCCGGGACCTTTGAGGCGTCTCAAACCTTGAGGAGCATGCGGGTTGTTGCGCTTTTGTGTCGACCCAAAAGCTTTTGAGGCGAGCGGGTCGCCGCTCCACCTGATTCGAGGCGTCTCAAAGTCTCAAACCTTGAGAAGCGTGCGGGTTGTTGCGAGGGTGCAGTGCGGCGTGGCAAGTGCGAGGTTTGACGCGTCTCTAAGAATCGAGCTTTGAGATGTCCCCAAAGCTCGATTCTTAGAGTGTCTCTAAATCGGAGGAGAGCATTCTCCCATCAGTCGAATGTGAGGACACTCTCCTCAGATTTAGAGACTCGACTCATGGGTGGATGCAGTGCAGTGCAGTGCAGTGCGGTGCAGTGCAGTGTGGGAGAGATCTGAGACACTCTCCTCAGATTTAGAGACTCGACTGATGGGATTTACATGTCCCCAGATCTGAGGAGAGCGTCGAGTCGACTGATGGGCAGATGCAGTGCAGTGTGGTGAATGGGAGCGAGAGAGAGAGAGAGTGACCGTGGGAGTGGGAGTGGGAGCGAGAGAGAGATTGACAGTGGGAGTGGGAGTGAGAGCGAGAGTGAGAGTGAGGGTGTCTGAGTGAGTGCGAGTGAGAGTGGCTGTGAGAGTGAAAATCACAACGGAGCAGATTTGCCCGTGCCAGCTTGATTCTCTCACAAATGCCCCACACATGAGGTGGAGCGGCGGCCCGCTCTGCCGGTGACGACATGTTATGAGCACGTGAACAATTCTTGAGGCGCCTCAAAAATCGACATGTTGCGAGCACGTGAACATGCGCCACACCAGCTGGATTCTTTCACCCTCTCGTGCCCCACACCGCACACCAGTCGGAGCGTCGTCCCAGCTGGACGCTTTCGCCCTCTCTTCGTGGCGTGCCACGAGTACGTGAACATGTCCCACACCGCACCAGCACGGACTGGCTCAATCCCAAACCTTGCAACTACCTCTCCCCTCTTCCTCTCCATCCCCTCTTCCTGTCTATCCCCCTGTCCTCCTCCTTCCCCCCTCCCCTGTCAGGTGGAGCGCCATCCTGTGCTCCTGGTGATGCGGCACGAGCACGTGAACATGTACCACACCAGCACTGCTCGGGCTGGCTCAACGCCTTATAAGCTCGATCCTCGCGTGACCTTTTCCTTTCCCTTTCCCTTTCCCTTTCCCTTTCCCTTTCCCTTCCTTCCTTCCTGCCCTGCCCTGCACTCCCCCCTCCCCTGTTTTGAGGCGCCTCAAAACTTCCCCTCCCCTTCCTGCCCTCCTCTCCCCCCTCCCCTGTTCCCCTGTCAGGTGGAGCGCCGTCTTGTGCTCCTGGTGGTGACACAGTACAAATACGTGAACATGCGCCACACCAGCACGGACTGCCTCAATCACATCCCATCCCATCCCAGGCCCTCCAACTGGCTCTCCCTCCCCATCCTCCCCCCTCTCCCCCTCCCAATATCGTCCCCACCACACATCAGGTGGAGCGCCGGCCCACACTCCTGGTGACGCGGTACGAGTACGTGAACATGTACCACACCAGCACGGACTGGATCAGCGCCTTCCAGGCCATGAGGCTTCTCAACGTCTCCGTGCGCCCCCTCGTGCTGTTCCTGGACGGCCACGCCAAGGTGGGGAGTCTATTTTTGAGGCGCCTCAAAAACAGGTGGGTGGAAAGGTTGCTGGACGACGTCTCCGTGCGCCCCCTCGTGCTGTTCTTGGTTGGCCATGCCAAGGTGGATGGAAGGGTGGGTGGGAGGGTGGATGGATAGATGGGTGGGTGGGTGGGTGGGGACGCTCAAAACGGGGTGGGTGGGATGGGGCCGACAGGTGGAGTGGAGTGGGTAGGTCGTGTCGTTGCAAGCCTTCCAATCCACGCGCCTGTTCGACGTCTCTGTGCGCCCCCTCGTGGTGTTCCTGGTTGGCCACGCCAAGGTGGGTGGAAGGGTTGCTGGGTGGGTGGATGAATGGGGCTGTGAAGCTGTGTGTACGGGCAAGTTAGGTGTTCTGTGCTGTGGCATGGGGGGCCATGTGACTCCATCCATGCACCCCTGTGGTTCTTAAACCACCTTGTGGCTAGGTGGAGGGTGATATTTGAGGCTCCTAAAAAATTGCTGCAAACAACCACCTTGTGTTCTTCAACCACCTTGTGGCTAGGGGTCGATATTTGAGGCTCTTCAAAAAGCGCTTCATTCAAGCAACCACCTTGTGGTTTTGAGGCGCCTCAAAACTAGACTCCTATCTGCTGGAAACAACCTGCCACCTTGTGGCTAGGTGGGGGTCGATATTTGAGGCTCTTCAAAAAGCGCTTCATTCAAGCGCACACGCATCTACGTCATTGAGAATTCTAAAAAACATGACATAATCCGCTCTGAATGCGCTGTGTGCTGCGGCACCCGCATCTATGTCCCATTGCCACTTCACAGTGTTTCTGGGTTGCAGGGATACCACAGTAGCCCCTCCCCTCCCCTCCCCTCCCCTCCCCTTCCCTCCCCCCACTCCCTGCATTCCTCTCCATCCTCTCCAGCCTGCATGCGTCCCCTCCTCCCCTCCTCCCCTCCTCCTTCCCTCCCCTCATTCCCATCACAGGGGCAATCTACATTCCGCCTGGGAGACAATGTTCGGCCCCTACCGCCTCATCAAGCTTTTGAGTCGACTAAAAAACCCATCACAGGGCAATCTGCAATCCGCCTCGGAGATAATGTTCGGCCCCTACCGCTTCATCACGTGGTACCAGCAGCGCCCGCCCCCCCGCTTCAACCTTGTATTTCTGTTTCGTTCTCCCCACCTTCGATCCTTGTGTTAACAGGGCAACCTTGACGCTGCCTCGGAGACAATGTTCGGCCCCTACCGCTTCATCAAGTGGTACCAGCAGCGCCCGCCCCCCCAGCTTCAACCTTGTACTTCTGTTTCGTTCTCCCCACCTTCGATCCTTGTGCTAACAGGGCAACCTTGACGCTGCCTCGGAGACACTGTTCGGCCCCTACTGCTTCATCAAGTGGTACCAGCAGCGCCCGACCCCCCAGCTTCAACCTTGTCCTTCTGTTTCGTTCTCCCCACCTTCCATCCTTGTGCTAACAGGGCAACCTGGATTCTGCCTGGGAGACAATGTTCGGCCCCTACCGCTTCATCAAGTGGTACCAGCAGCGGCTGCCCCCCGGCTCTGCATTGTGCTTCCAGCACGCGGTGTTCGTGCCGGTGGGGTACGCTGCCCCCATCTTCAGCTCCTACATCAAGGAATCGCTGCCCGCCAGGAGGTGAGCTTTGAGTCGACTCAGAAATCAAATGGTGCTGGTGGGGTGGGGTATGCCGCCCCCATCTTCAGCTCCTACATCAAGGAATCGCTGCCCGCCAGGAGGTGAGCTTTGAGTCGACTCAGAAATCAAATGGTGCTGGTGGGGTGGGGTATGCCGCCCCCATCTTCAGCTCCTACCTCAAGGAATCGCTACCCGCCAGGAGGTGAGCTTTGAGTCGACTCAGAAATCAAATGGTGCTGGTGGGGTGGGGTATGCCGCCCCCATCTTCAGCTCCTACCTCAAGGAATCGCTGCCCGCCAGGAGGTGAGCTTTGAGTCGACTCAGAAATCAAATGGTGCTGGTGGGGTGGGGTACGCCGCCCCCATCGTCAGCTCCTACCTCAAGGAATCGCTGCTTGCCAGGAGGTGAGCTTTGAGTTGACTCAGAAATCACCTGTGCTTCCAGCACAGCACTCGGTGTTCTTGCCGGTGGGTGGGTGGGTGGGTGGGTGGGTGGGGTATGACGCCCCCAGCTTCAGCTCCTACGTCAATGAAGCTATTCCTGCGAGGATGTGAGTGAGGGGCAGATGGGTAGGTAGCACCGTAGCAGGGTAAGCGAGGTGCTTGGGATCTCTGGAGAATCCGGAAAAGTGCATCCAGCTTGCTCACTCGCTTGTACGCACTTGCTACCACAGCTGTGATTCCAGCACTCGGTATTCTTGCTGGTGGGTGGGTTGGGTATGCTGCCCCCATCTTCAGCTCCTACAAGTAAAAAGTTGTTGACCTTTGGCTGCTTATAGAAGCCCATGTTCTTAGAACATGTTCATAGGTGATGGATGACCTATGAAGAAATTATTTTAGAAGCCCATTTACAAAAAGGATCCCAGAGTTTTTTATCAAGTCACACAAGGGTTACATTCCCAGGCAAGTTCTCCTATCCCCCTTCCTTACCCCCCTCACTCTCTCCCTCCGCCCCCCCTCCCTCAAAGGTGTGTGTTTTGCTGACAGTAAAGTGCAGAGCAGTCTATTTTTTAGGTGCCTCAAGAACAGACTCCCCCTCCCTCCTAGGAGTGATTTTTTTTTGGTGCCTCAAAAATAGACTCCTTATGAGGCGCCTCAAAACTAGGTGGTGTGTGTTGCTGACAGCAGCGTGCAGAGAAGCTCTGCATGGGGCATCTCCCCCCACGGCTCCACCTCACGTGCCACCGAGTTCACTTCACACTCCCTCTCCTCCTCTCCCGCGCTCCCCCTTTCTTCCGCCCCCCCTTCCCTCCCCTCTTCCCAGGTGTGTGGCTGACAGCACAGTGCAGGGCGGCAGTGCGTGGGGCATCTCTCCCTTCGGCTCCACCTCGCGGGTCACCGAGTTTGCAGAGTTTGTGATCAAGTCGCACGGCATCGGCCTGCACACGGGCTCCTGGGCCTTCCCCCTGCACCCCATCCCGCCACCGCGGTTGAACCCTGCGCACCGCGAAAATCGCCGTGGCATTGCGAGCGGTGTCACCGCCGCCACCGCCACTGCTGGTTTGGGTCCTTTGGAGCTGCTAGGTTGGAGGGCGAGAGGCATAGGGGGCCCTTCTGTTGTGAATCAGCTGGGGTACTTCCCTGTTGTGGACCTTGGAAGGCTGGTGGAACGGGTTCCAGGGACCCAGCAGCAGCAACAGCAAGGGCAGGGGCAGGGGCAGGGGCAGGAGCAGGAGGAGGGGCAGCAACGGGGGCGAAGTCTACTGGAGAAAGCGGATGGGAGAGCCATGGGGCTGAGTGACGACGGGAGGCAGGTGCTGCAGCAGTGGCAGGAGAGGCAGAGAGAGCAGCCGTGGTGGCAGCAGCAGCAGGAGCACGAACAGCAGCAGCGGCAGCAGCAGCAGCAGGCAGCAACAGGCTCCCGGAGACTCCAGGAGCACCACGAGCAGCAGCAGCAGGAAGACACACAACAGCAGCTCTCGACCGCAAACCTCCACCTCTTCCCCCAGTCCTCCTTCTCCCCATCCTGGGCGCGGCCTCTGCGCGTGCTGGTGATCCGGAGGGACTTCTTCCTGGCGCACCCGCGCATGGAGGGCAGCGGGTGGGTGGAGGAGCGCGTGGGGGGGGTCAACGACCTCGTGGGCTCGCTCAAGCAGTGGGCGTGGGAGCGGGAGGGGCTCCGGCTGCTGGATGCTACTGAGAGGGTGGAGAGGATGGGGTCATTGCTAGATGGGGGGAATTGGAGGAGGTTGGGGGGGGGGAATGGGAGGGGGAGAGGGGGGAGAGGGAGTGGGAGAGGGGGGAGAGGGAGTGGGAGAGGGGGAGGAGGGGTGGAACAGGGAGGGAGATGGGGAGGAGCGGAGGGAGGAGGGAGGAGGCGGGAGGGAGGGCCGTCTGCTGAGCCGGTTTCAGTGGCTGGGCCCTTTGTTCGAGGTGCTGGTGCTGCTGGTGCTGAAAACAGTGAGGCAGAGAGCGGAGAGCAGCGGGCAGGAAGGAAAGGAAGTGGAAATGGCAGGAGTCGGAAGAACAGGGGTAAGAAAGCGGAGCAAAGGCAGCGAGATAGGAATGGCGGCGGACGAGGCAAGCTCTTGACTAAGCCCGACAGAAGACGGCTGCAGATGCGACATGCTGATTGGCTAAACCCGGACCCCTTATCCGACCAGCAGCAGCAGGGCCGGCAGGGAGAGGGAGGGGGTAACGGGCAACGGACCGCAGTTCCCCCGCGCCTCGTGTTTGTGCTCAACGGCACCATGACTTCCTGGTCCTTCCGGCAACAGATGGAGGCAGTGTACTGGGCGGATGTGATTGTCGGTGCTCACGGTGCCGGCCTCACACACGTCATGTACATGCGCCCGGGGTCGGCCCTTGTGGAATTGCGGCCGATTTCGGACGTGAGGGACCATTATAATTTGCTGGCGAATTACCGCGGGTTGCGGTATATTAGAATAGAGCCGAACGCAAGGGGGGTTGTGGATGTGAATGATGTCACACGTGCTCTGAAGGTGCTTTTGGGCGAGGATGTATGAGTTGTTATGGGGTGCCTACCTACGGGACTGGTAAAGTATGACCAGATTTATAAGAAGCCCCTACCCTTAGGAACGTGGGGGTGTACTATGTAAGGTTGGTTTGTGTAGTTGAACTTATTTGGTCCGTGACCATAGAAGATGTATGTCGGGGTCTTCTATGAAATGTCCAACGCTAATCTACACCCAAGCACCTCTTAGACGCTTTGCACTTCGAGCCGAACACGTGGAGTTCAGCTAAACCCCCCACGCAAAAGGCGCCCAATTATGAGCCAGGGTGTCACAATGAACACGTCGATACACGGGAAGAACATACATTGTGAAGGAGGGTGGATGGGATTGGACATTCAGGTTTCAAGGCAGACTGTGCGGTTGCATAAGCACAAAATCCTGACCGCGCCTCGTCCGATTCGGTTTGGTTGAGGCTGGTCAGGATTCCGTAACCCAATCGATAGCTCGCCAAATCGGGTGCGCGATGCATGCATCTCCACGTCGACCATTCGTCAACCAGCAAAATTCGCCCCCTGTTGAGTTGACCTATTTCGCCTACCCTTTCCCCCTAAAAAGATTATCGTACTCCACCGAAATTGGCGCCCATATTGAAATGAGGGCGTGCTACATTTCACTCCTGCTTCAGCTACCCCCATTCGCAGCTCTGGCAATCTGTCGAGTAGGTTCTTCTCCCCTCTGCGAATCCCATATCATTGCCTCTGTTGTCGATCGCAAGCCATGGCGTCGACTGTCCTTCCTCCAGCTTTCACCGCGTCCCTCGCCTCACGCTGCGCTTCCGTGCGGCAGCTCTCCGCATCCGCGCGTTCCGCCATCCAGCCGCGACGAACTCCGCCGATTCGGTTAGTAACCGCAGCGTTGGGCGGAGGACCAGGCGACATAGGCGCGGGGGGGAATCTGGGCGCGCCGGTTCCCGTCGCGTCGTTGTCGTCGCCGTCGCCAAGCAGAGTGCGACCGGCTTTCGCTCTCGCTAGCGAAGCGACAGAGGGCGGTGCGGCGGCGACATCAGGGGCCGCGAAGGCGACGCGAGTGGAGGTCCCTACGGAGACCGATGCACGCGGTGAGACGCGTGCGCGGGGAAGAATGGGGGGGGGGGGGGGGGGAGAGAGGGAGGGTGGAGACGGGGGTGGGCTGGAGGGTCGTATGCTGACTGTGCTGGCTTTTGTACGCTGATTGGAGAGGCTTGGTCGATTGCGATCCACCTGCGATATCCCTGCGCCCTGGTCGTTCTCTCTCTCTCTTGCACGTCAACCCGTTCTCTTCCCCTCTCGCGCCCGCTTCTCCTTGTCCTTGCTCCCGGGGGGCCGTCCCCGCTCCCCCCTCTCTTCCTCTTCCTCTCCCCCCCGCCCTCCCTCTCGCTCCCCGGGTCCCTCTCGCTCGCGCTTTCCCCTGCAGGCCTGACTCGCATGGTGCTCCAAGAGGAAGGCTACGAGCAGTGGGAGTGGCAGGGCAACAAGGTACTACGCGCACGCATGCATGCACGCACGCACGCCCGCACGCATGCACGCTCGCACGCATGCACGCATGCCCACTCACGAAACCTCTGGTCTCCCAGCACACAGTAACAAGCCTCCGCTCCGCTCATTCTCCCGGCCTCGCTCCCCATTCCCCATGCCATTCCAATCCCCAGTCTCAGCATCAGTACCTCCCACCCCGCTCCTCTCTCTGCCCCCCCCTCCCCCCCTCCTCCCCTTCCCCCCCCCCCTCCATCCCACTGACAGGTCAATTATGTGGTGGCAGGTGACGTCAGCAGTGACGCCACGCCCGTCCTGTTCATCCATGGATTCGGCGCTTCGGTCTACCACTGGAGGTGCGGGGAGGGGGGCGTGCGAGGAAGGGTTGTGGGAAAGGGGCACAAGGGTATGGGGGTATGGGAGAACAAGAAATGTGCTCAGGGTGGGGAGGAGCCGGGAAGGAGAAGAGGAGAAGCGGGTATGCGGGCAGCGGGGGAGAGAGGGGGGCCTATTTATGGGGGGAGCGCACGCAAGGAAGGTGCGCAAGAAGTATCCGCGTCTCGCCCCCTCCCTTGCATACAAGTTTTCCTGATCAGGTTCACTTGTGAACCACACTTCAAGTGGAGGCATCCTTGTCTAAAGTCACATATTCCAGCGCTCACTTGCTCACCTGCCCCCTTGTCCTTCGCCTCTCCCTCTCTCCCCCTCTCCTCTACCCTCACCAGGTACAACATCCCAGAGCTAGCAGCGTCAGGCCGGCCCGTCTACGCCATCGACCTGATTGGGTTCGGGTGGAGCGACCGCGCGCTCATCCAATACAGCGCTGCCATGTGGGCGGACCAGATCTCCTCCTTTGTGCGCGACGTGATTGGCCGGCCCGCGGTGCTCGTTGGTAACAGCGTCGGCGGTTACGTCACCCTGACCACTGCGGCAAATTACCCTGACACTGTCGCCGGTACTGTGCTAGTGAATGCTGCTGGAAAGTTTGATGAGTCCCCCCCCGGCACTGCTCCGCTTTCTGGAGCAGATGAGTCGCCTAGTGAGTCCAAAGGAAGGAAGCGAGCCGGTGCGATCCCGGTTGAAACCCACGGGCACCAGCATGGGCAGGAGGAAAAGGTTCCCATCTCGGTGCTGGTTCGGGAGAAGGTACAGGAGGCAGTGGAAGGCGTGGTGGCGGGGGTGGGGAAGATCGCTCGCCGTGTTGTGCTGCAGGTGACGTTCCTGCAGGCGAAGCAGCCAGGGAGGATCAAGCAGGTGCTGGAGCTGGTGTATCCCAACGCTGCGAGTGTGGATGAAGAATTGGTGCGCTCCATAGTGCTCCCCACGCGCGATCCCAATGCCGCCGAGGTGTACTATAGACTGTCTACTCAAGTGCTCCTGCACCCCTCTGCGCTATCACTCAACGCCCTCCTCTCCTCTCTCCGGTCGTTGGATTCTCCGATGTTGCTGCTCTGGGGAGCGCTGGACCCCTGGATGACTCCGGCTAAGGCACAGACTATTGTGGATAACTACCCCGGAGCAATGAGGGTGGATATTGCTGCGGGGCATTGTCCGCATGACGAGGATCCGAAGGCATTCAATGAAGCGCTGATCAAGTGGCTGCAATCTAGCTTCTGATGTGAATGTCTGCATGCTCAGTCGTACAAACAAGTGAAGGATGGGTAGGTTTGGGGACATCAGTTTTTGCTATGGGTGTTCCTGTGGTGTGATAGGTGCAGATTGTTTCCTTTGGTGTACAGCTTTGCTTTCCTAATCATGAAAAGAATCATCAGCTGTGGCCAGGCCTGTACTGAAGGATGAATGCATGTAACACTGTCAGGTAACGTGGTAGTACTACCACGCAATGAAATCGTCACCAATTTTAGTGCATTTTAGAGTAAGACTGGATTTCTAACCGGGCTATAAACATGTTATCTGCTGGATAATTTTGTAACAGCCAGTCAAGCGAAAATCATGGCGTCGCCAGGTTCGAGGCTGTGTCACGAGCAAAAGTGCTTCGCTGCAGTATGGGGCTTATACAAATGAAACGTAAGGTGAACCTATATTGTTGCTGTCCTTGTAGTGTTGGCGCGCAGTGGCACTCCAAATCCGCACTTAGAGCTTTTCCCTTTGGTGGCCACTTACCCTCTCCTGAGGTACTTTCTGCTCCTACGAGACTGAGATCTAAAATCCACCCCCCGAGAAAATTGCGCGTTTCAGAGACAAGTGTAAACACGGCCAGCGGGGCGGACGCGGTAGAATCGTTTTGGGCTTATCTCTTCGCCTCGCCTAAAGCCACGTTAATCTCTTCTAACAGATTAGAGACGTATTTCCAGTCTGCCTTCTCAGCTCCTAATCGTGGTGAGTGTCGATCCTCTCGTTGCCGCGATGCTCTAATTTCCAGTATATTCCGCTAGACATTGTATAAATTTCGATCCTCTTCGATGACAGCGTTCTCTGAAATTGGTATATTCTCGGCAAAATCTTCCATTTCCCAGTCAAATCGCGCGTTGAGACGACGATCTTGAATTCCTCAAGCCTACAAGCCTGAACCGACCAACTATTTGTTATTCGTCCCATTCCCCGGAAAGCGTAAGTTACCTTTCGTACTGTTCGTCGCTTCCATGCAGTTATTGCAGAGAGCTTTGCGCAGCCGCTGTACTCGATATAAGCATGGCAGAAGAGGATCCACCCGTCAAAGAGCACGAGGAGGAGGAGGAAGACGACGACGACGATGACGACGACGACGACGACGACAAGGAGAAGAGCGACGGCGGCGACAGCTCCAGCTCGAGCTCTGATAGGTCCGACGACAAGGACGACGACGACGACGACGATCGCGATCGCACACGCGGCGACGAAGAGGCGGAGATGAAGGACGCGGGCACGCGAAGCGACAGCGACAAGGACGACGACGACGACGACGACGACAAGAAGGCGAGCGACAGCTCGAGCGACAGCGATAGCGACAGCGACAGCGACTCGGATCGGGATTCGAGCAAAGACGGAAGCGAGGGAGCGGGTAGGGAGGAGACTGGAGAGGAGGGGCGGGAGTCGCCTAGCGCGGAAAAGAAAGAGAAAGAGGCTGATGCGGGGGAGGGGGCGATCGGGAACGGGAAGAGCGAGGAGGATGCGAGTATGGATGTTGGCGGAGAGGGGAAGGAGGAGGCGTTGAAGGGGGTGGAGAGAGGTAGCGACGACGGTGGAGCGGGGGTGGGGATGGATGAAGAGTTGAAAGAAGCTGTCGCTGCTGCTGCTGCTCCAGCTGCTGCTGCTGCTGGTAGTACCGCTGCTGCTGCGACTGCCGATGCTGCTGCTGGTGCTGGTGCTGGAGCTGCTGCTGCTGCTATTGATGATGATAAATCTAGTGCTCCGGTCGATGCTATGGAGGAGGAGGGTGGGCGTGAGGGGGAAATAACGCCTCCGGAAGTCAGGGCGCAAGAACACGCGCACAAGGCGGAAGAATTGCGCGGGGAGGGGGAAGAAACCGGGGAGCGCGGAGCCCCGTCCGCAGGGCGGGGAGCAGAGGCCGCATCACCCAGCCCACAGGGGGAGGATGACGCGGACGGGGAGGGGAAGGACAGCCGGAGGGGGAAGGAAGGCGGAAAGGAACAGGCGGGGGGGGATCAGGGCGCGGAAGAGGAGGGGAAAGACCAGGGGATGGAGCTCGAAATGAAGGCGGAGGAGGACACGTTGGCGGAAGAGGCGGAGCAGGCGGCAGCAGAGGCGGAAGCGGAGGCGGAGGCGGAGGCTGCAGTGGCGGCAGCGGCTGCGGAAGCAGCAGAGGCGGCGGAAGCGGATGAGAAGATGGGGGAGGGCGGGGAGAGGGGCGGAGGGGGAGGCGGGGGGGGGATGGATGAGCCGGCGCAGAGGCCCCCCCATGGGTCGGAGGTGTTTGTGGGGGGGATCACGAGGGATATATCAGAGGAGGATATCCGGGAGCTCTTTTCCCAGATAGGGGACATCTATGAGGTGGGTGTGCATGTGCATGTGGGGTGTGTGTGTGTGTGTGTGGGTGCGTGTGTGTGGGTGTGGGGATCGTGTGTGTTGTGTGTGTACGTGTGTTTGGGTGGGATTGTGTGTATACGGCGGGATGGTTTGATTGATGTGTGTCCTGGCGTGTATCTGCTTGGGCGTGCGCGCGAGCTGTGGCTTGGCCAGCTATTTCAGGCACTTAGTTCTCCTAAGGACTAGGAGGCATTGTGTTTGTGGCTTAACTCTACACTCTCCGCCTCGTAGCCCATGCCTGCCTTCCCCACCCACCTCCCCTCCTGTCTGCCTCCTGTCTGCCTCCTGTCTGCCTCCTGCCTGCGTGCTGCTTGCCTGGCACCCGCCGTCCCGCTCAAATGTTGTTGTGAACCTTCCCGAATAACCTGCCTGCCTTGTGGTGTCCTGTCCCGTTCCGCATGCATGGGTCCCCTGTGTTCCCCTGTGTGTGTGTGTGTGTGTGTGTGTGTGTGTGTGTGTGCGCGCGCGCGTGCGCGTGCGTGCACCAGGTGCGTGTGCTCAAGGATCGCGAGACGGGCAACATCAAGGGGTACGGCTTTGTGACGTACTTCAACCGGCACCACGCCGACAAGGCCATCGACACGCTCAATGGCTCCGAGATCAAGGTGGGGGTGAGGGTGGGGATGGGGGGGGGGGGGGAGGTGGAGGTGGGGGTGAGGATGGTGCTGGGATGCTTTGAGTGGACTCATGCAGGGTACGGTCCTTCCCATTCACGGTCCTTCCCATTCACGGTCCTTCCCATTCACGGTCCTTCCCATTCACGGTCCTTCCCATTCACGGTCCTTCCCATTCACGGTCCTTCCCATTCACGGTCCTTCCCATTCACGGTCCCTTTTTCACGCCCCCCCCTTCAAATTCCCCTCACCAGAGCAAGAAGCTGCGCGTGACGCCGTCGCAGTCCAAGTACCGTCTGTTCGTGGGCAACATCCCCAAGAGCTGGAACAAGGACGAGCTGCACACTACGTTGGAGGCGGAGGGCAAGGGCATCACCAACCTCGAGCTGCTCATGGTGGGTGGGGGGGGCGGGGGGACGGTTGCAGGGTGGGCGGGAGGGTTGGGGAGGTCAGCCAGGAGGGTGGGGGAGCAAGGACGAGCTGCACATTACCTTGGAGGCGGAAGGCAAGGGCATCACCAACCTCGAGCTGCTCATGGTGGGGGAGGAGGGGGGGGGGGTTGAGAAGGGGGTGAGAGGGGAGGATGGGAAGGTGTGCGTGTGTGGGTGGCCCTGGGTGAGGCGGTGGTCTGTTTGTGCAGGTGTATGCACCTGCCACTCCCCCCCCATCCCTCCCCCACCCCTCTCCCCACAAATGAACTCGCACCCACATCATGTTCCCCATCTCCCCCACCCCTCTCTCTTTCCCATGCCCTTCTTTCCCTTGCCTTTCTTTCCCAAGCCCTTTTTCTCGCGACTCCCCACACTTTTCTGCACCCTCTCCCCTCCCTCCCCCAACAACCCTCCCAGGACCCCAAGCTCCCGGGTCGCAATCGCGGGTACGCGTTTGTGGAGTACCACAATCACGCGTGCGCCGAGGTGGCCCGCCGCAACATGACCAAGCCCTCCTTCCGCCTCGCCGCCAATGTGCCCACCATCAGCTGGGCCGAGCCCCGCTCCGAGCCCGACCCCTCCGCCATGGCACAGGTACACAGATCTTCGGCCATTCTTCCAGTGAGCGCGGTGACTGAAGTTAGTTTAGCTAGTAGGAAAGACAGTGAAAGACAGTGCCCCGCTCCGAGCCCGACCTCTCTGCCACGGCACAGGTGCACCCTCGTGTGAGAGAGCAGCTACTGTTTGCAGGTAAGCACCTCCGACTCTGGTGCTGCAGGTGCCCTCTAGGCGCTACCACAAGACAAGTCGCAACATGACCAAGCCCTCCTTCTGCCTCGCTGCCAACGTGCCCACCAACAGCTGGGCCCTAGCCTAGATCCGAGCACTGCTGCTGACCTCTCAGCTGTGGCACAGGTAACTTCCTGGTGCTGGTGCGTAATGTCTTTCCTCAATGGTCTCATTCCTCCCCTCCCCCCCCCCCCCAGGTGAAGGTCGTGTACGTGAAGGGCATATCGGAGAAGGTGAGCGAGGACGATCTCAAGGCGGCTTTGAGTTGACTCACCAGGTGTTTCTCGCCTTCCCCCTCCCTGCTACTCCCCCACTCCGAACCCCCCCCCCCCCCCCTTCTCCACAACCCCCTCCCCTCCTCCCCTCCCCCCCCAGGTGAAGGTAGTGTACGTGAAGGGCATCTCGGAGAAGGTGAGCGAGGACGACCTCAAGGAGGCCTTCCAGCGCTTTGGCGAGGTCACCAGGGTCATCCTGCCGCCGCCGCGCCCGGGGCAACCCAAGAGGGACTTTGGGTTCGTGCACTTTGCGGAGCGGGCGGACGCACTCAAGGCGATTGAGGCCGAGGAGAAGGTGCTCATAGACGGTGAGTGGAGTGTTGGCATCCGGACTCTTGCTGCTGTTTGTATGTGGGATTTTTAGAGAACGAGCAGTAGTACTTTGGTTGGGGAGAGGGCGGACGCGCTCAAGGCGATTGAAGCTGAGGAGAAGGTGCTCATAGACGGTGAGTGCAGGGTTGGTGGCACAATGGGCTGGTGGATGGTGATTGGGGTAGCAGGTGGATGGTGAGTGGGGTAGCAGGTGGATGGTGAGTGGAGTGGTGTGGGCACGTGGGGCTAGAGGACGGTGAGTGGTTCAGGGTTGGTGGGCGGTGAGTGTGTGGTGCTGGCAGCCCAAGAGGGACTTTGGGTTCGTGCACTTGGCGAAGCGGGCGGACGCGCTAAGGCGATCGAGGCCGAGGAGAAGGTGCTCATAGACGGTGAATGGAGGGTGTGGAGTGGTGTGGAGTGGTGTGGTGTAAGATGTGCACCCCTGGTAGACAGTGAGTGGAGGGGTGTGGGCACATTGGCTGCAGGACGGTGAGTGGGGCAGGGGTGGTGGGCGGTGAGTGCAGTGGTGTGGTGTGGTGTGGTGTGGGCACATTTTCGTCTCTTCTCCCCTCATCCCTTCCTCCCTTCCTCCCTTAACCCTACTCCTTCCGCTCTGTTGCTGTCACTGAAACCCGATTGCTCATCACCCACTTGTTGACCATTCCCCTTTTAAATTCCTCGCTTCCTCCCTTCCCCACCGAAGCCCAATCACTCATCACTCATCACTCGTTCACCATTCCCTTCTTCCCTCTCCCCATCAGCAGGCAAGGAGGTCCAAGTGCCTTGATCCAAGCCCCCTTCTCCCCTCCTCCCTTCCTCTTTCTCCACCCACCAGGCAAGGAGGTCCAAGTCTCCCTAGCCAAGCCCCCTCCCGAGCGTTGCCCGGGCTCAGGGGACGTCTGAAACGGCTCAAAAGATTATTTTTGAGCCAACTCAAAGTTTGACCTTTGAGCCGACCCAAAAGCCAAGCCCCTTCTAGAGCGTCGTCCCGGCCCAGGGGACCCCCTGTCCCCCCCGTGCTCCTGCCCCCGCTCCTGTCTCTGATTGACAATGATGCATCCGCCTCTTTTACCCCTCCCCTCATGCCCTCATGCCCTCATGCCCTCTACCCTCTCCCCGTGAAGCAAGGAGGAGGCTGAATGATTCAATCAAGTCTCTCTTTGTCCAATCCCCCTTCCCCGTCCCCCCCCCCCCCCCTCCCTCTCCTCCTTTCCCTCTCCCCTCTTCCCCCCTTTCCCCCTCTCCCTTTTCTCCACCCACCAGGCAAGGAGGTCGAAGTCTCTCTAGCCAAGCCTCCCCCTGAGCGCCGCCCCGGCCCAGGGGACCCCCCCTACCCGCCGCGCTCTGCGCCAGGGGGGGGGGCAGCGGAGGGGGAGGCGGCAGTGGCACAGGGGGGGCGTCAGGCCTTCACCCTCAGTATCGGTCTGGTTATGGCTATGGCGACATGGGGGGGGAAGGGAGGGGGTATGGCGGAGGAGGGGGAGGAGGAGGGGGGGGGTATGGCAATCGGGAGGGGAGGGGAGGGGAGGGGCCGTATGGGGCTTATTCGCGGAGTGTGGGGGAGAGGGGAGGGGGCGGGGGGGCGGGAGGAGCGGGGGGGGCCGGCGGAGCGGGAGGGGGTTTCGGGTCGCAGGTGCCGTTTATATATGGGCGGGGGCCGGCGCCTGCTGGTATGGTCATGGTGCCCATGATGCTGCCAGATGGACGGCTGGGATACATTCTGTGAGTTGGCTGGGGGGGGGGTGTGCTGAGGGTTCTGTTCAGCCGATTTTACTCTCTACCTCCTTCCTTCACTCATCCGCCCTCCCCCCCCGCTCTTGCTCGCCCACATTGTAGTCAGGCGCCCACCCACCCACACCACACATGCATGTGAGCCTAGCCGACCGGCCGGCCTTTATTGCTGACTGTAACTGCGTGCACAACTCAATTTGCTCCACTTTCCCTTGTGTGTCTGCTTCCTGTGTATGCTATGTCTACTGCCCATGCATGCCTGCCTACATGCATCTGTGTGCATGCATCCCTTCCTGCGTATCATGGTCTAACTCTGTGCGTGCGTATGCCTATGTGCCTATGCCCCCATGTCCCCATGCAGGCAAAGGGAGGGAGAGGGTGGCGGGGGAGGTTACGGAGGACGGTCGTCAGGAGGGGGAGGAGCGTATCGGAGTGGGGGGGGAGGGGGAGGGTACTCGAGACCCGGGGGCGGAGGGGGTGATGGGAGTGTGGGGGGGGCTAGTGCTGGTAACTCTCAAGCACGCCGTTACAGACCGTACTGAGTGCCTTGTGCCTTGTTTCGGGTTGATTGACGCTGGTTCTTGGGGGGCGGCGGTTGAGGGGGGGGGGAGGTGGTTGTGGTGTTGGGGCTGCGGGGGTTTTGAGTTGAATAATGGAGGGGGAATTCTTCAAGGGTTGATATGATAATGGTGTAATAATTTGTAAAACAGTGCAGAAGACTAAGAGCGTGTTCCTACGAGCCTCTTCCCAGGCAACCTCTTCCCAGACTTGCGCGCGACCTTGAGAGCGTGTTCCCAGGACCACTTTTTGGAATACTCCCGTTTCATGTTTGCGTTCCACCGCTCTCAACTACATAAAACCAGCTGGCGTTGTAACTTTACTGTGCAGATTCATGTTTGTCTGAAAATCTGCTCATCTTAAAAGAGGATTGTGAAAGTTTGCTTAGGTCCTCTTGTAAAGGCAGCGTGCTTCATTTCATCTGGGAAACATACATGGTTCTCGTCCAACAAAGAACTACACACAAGAGGGTGGGTGGGCGGGGAAATTGAACTAGAGAAACTAGAAATGAAGAACATGGGTGAAGCCGAATGGCCTCACGTCCCTCTTTTGTAGGCAAAAGAGGGTGAGTAGCGCTTCGTCGCTGCCTTTGCTGCGTTGGCCCTCGCTACACTCTCACAATACACATTTTTAGAAAGTGTTACACACTTTCAAAAAATTACATATTGTGAAAGTTTGCTTAGGTCCTCTTGTAAAGGCAGCGTGCTTCATTTCATCTGGGTCTTCTGAGACATGTGCAGAAGGGGTTGGCGGTGGCGTTCAATAGATAGCTGGTGCTGATTGGGCGTGGGAGCGGTGGCTGCGTCTTGGAGTTGCATGGAGGCTTGAAGGAGTTGGTCATGCGCGATGGTAACGTAGAGCTCCTTGGCATTATCGCTGCGCCAACGGCCAAGTCGCTTGAACAGCCGGTCGGATATCCCCAGGCTGGCTGCCGCTGAAGCAACGCCCTTGCGAAAGGAGTGGGTGCCGAGGTGGGCGCTATCGAGGCCGGCCCTGGTGAATGCTTCAAGGCACCAGTTCCGGATGGTGGTGTACGAAGGTGCGTGGTCCTGTGGAGTTGCCGTACTGCTGTTCCCGAAGACTCGGATCAATGGTCCGTGTGGGGTGGAGGTGTGACCCGCGAGGAGTAGAAAGTGTCGTGTGCAGCGTACCGGGCAGTATGGGCCAGAAGTGGCGGCGACCGGAATCCACGTGCCCCTGCTTTCTTGGTCGGTCTTGGAGTGCGGGATAAGCAGCCACATCGCCTCCGGCTCAAACTGTATGTCATGCCATTGGAGACTGACAAGGTCGGAGTAGCGTAGGAAGGCGGCGAACATAAGGATGGGGATGAGTCCTTTCTGGTATTCGGCCGGCCGGGTGGACTCCAGAAAGGGGCGGGCCATGGTGTGCACTTGGTGCAGCGACAAAGGTTCCTTGTTCCGGGTGGGGCGCGGGCCATGGCGTTTGGCAAATTCGCGCACTTGTAGTGTAAATGGTCCAGTCGAGAGAGAGGGCTCGCCAGTCATGCGATGCGCGAAGGCGACGGCGGAGCATGTAAACGATATGGCAGATGTGGTGGCCTGGTGATTTAGTGCATGAATGAGGTAGAGTGCCAGGGTCATATCCGTTGCAGGCAAGTAGCTCAACTTCACCTTCATGCAGAAGGAGCGAAATTTGAGCCAGTAGGGCTCATACGTTCGGATGGTGGAAGGGGCACGGACATGGGTGATTACGTGTAGTAGTTGTGTTTGCAGCTTCGTTATAATGCCTGAAAAGGTACAGCATAGAGTACAATTATTATTAATTTTTATACGTGACATGCAGTGCAATCAACTTACTAGGAGGAAAGCCTTGTCCTGCGAAAGCGAGTGCGTGTGTGCCGGGGCGTAGGCATTGGCTGCCGTGGGTGAGGGGAATGTGTGCCGTTACTTCTGGCACCCAGGCGTCAGGTGCCTGTTGGAGGAGTGGCCACCATGATGCTCCCGGCCACTCGGGAATGACCAAGGTCACCTCAGCGTGTGTGCGTTTAGCGTATCGTAATGTGGCTAGAATGAGGTTGGGAGGGGGAAACGCAAAGCCGCGCTCGTGCTGCCAGCTGAACGAAAATGCGTCAAACACTGCGGCCGTAGGGTGCGGAATCTTGGAACAAAACCTCTCCAGCTGAGCGTTGTGCACATTTGCGAAGAGATCGATAGAGTGGGGACCCAGGCGGTGATCCAAGAGTCGGAACCACGGGGCTTTGAGGGAGTAGTCATCGTGGTCTTGGATTTTTGAAAGTTCGTCGGCGTGCGCATTCAGCTCTCGTGGGATCCATTCGACAGCTAGCCTTGTTTGGTGTTCCAGGCAGAGGCGAATGATTGCTTGACACAGTAGCGTAAGCGTGGGGTGGCGCGATCCACCTTTGCATATGATGAATACCACGCCTTGATTGTCTACCCGAACGAGTACGTGGCGCTTGGGTATGCGGGCAGCAGCTTCAGGTTTCGCCGACCCTCCTCTGGTCTGGGTCACCTGATGACGCGTCTGCGTTCCACGTCTGGGGCTGCCTTGCTCACGTTCGTGCCTCTGGCACGGACAAGCTCACTGCCCGCACCCTTCCCTATGTCTTCCTCGGTTTCCCCCTTGACGCGTCTGAATGGCACTTCTACCACCCGTCATCTCACAGGTTCTTTCACTCCTGTAACGTCACCTTTGACGAGTCCGTCTCCTTCTTCCACCGCTTCCCCCACCGAGGTCCCCCGGTTACCCCCCCCCTGTTCCTGGTCACCCCTTCCCCGGTCGTCGTCGCCGCCCCTCCTCCTCCCCCTCCCCGTCCTGCCCTGGTGTGTCCCACGTTACCCCACTTACGTCGGTTGTCCCGGTTGAGGAGTCTGCTGACTCTGGTGGTCCTATGGCGCAGTCCTCACCGCCTGCCCCTTCTCAGGTGTCTCCTCCTCCGCCGCCTCCGCAGCCGCCGTCGCCACCGCTGTCGCAGCCGTCGTCACCGCCGCCGCCGTCGCCGCCGCCACAGCAACTGGTTGCCTCTGGGGGTGCTGGAGTTGGGGTGGGTACTAGTCCTGGGACTCCTGTCAAGCCTTGTCCTGGCAGGCCTGGGGGTGGTACTGGTGCTCGAGGGGTTCTGAGCTTTGGGGGTGTTCCTTCTGGGGGTGCTGGCGTGGAGAATTCTGGAGGTAGCCGCCAGGCAGCTTGCGGTCCCGGTGTCGGTGTCACACCGCCGCCGCAGCAGTCCCCGCCGGTGTCCGCTCTTCGCCTGCTTGTCCTTCCGTCCCCAGACCCCGTGCCTGTGCCTCCTCCTCCTCCTGTCTACGGCTCTGTGTTCCCTCCTCCGGACTCGTCTCCGGCCCGTTTCCCCCCTCGTTCCCCTCTTGTGTCCCCTCCTCTGTCCCCTGACCCGACTCCTCCGTCTCACGTCTGGTCTCGCCGTTCCTCCCGTGCTTGGACTGTCTCCCCTGTCTCGCACTCTCACCCTATGTTGCTTCGTTCCCACGCATCTCACCCTCCCCTTCTCCCGTCGCCCCCTCCGTCCTCCCTTGTCGTTGCTCCCCTCCCTCTGTCTGACTACCTGCGTGCCGCTCGTCCTCTTGTTCCTCGGGTCCTTGCCTCTCTCGTTACCGACCCGTCTGTTCCGGTTTCGAGCCTTGACGCCCTTGTCGCTGCGGTCGCTGACTTTGCCTCTACCTGCCGCCTTGACTACGCCACTACTCTGGTCTCTGACCCTGCCTGTCCTCCGTCTGTCGAGGGTGCTCCTGCCCTCGGCAGTGACGTCCTGAAGGACCGCCAGTACAAGCTTGTTTTCCTGTCTGAGGCTGCTCCCCATCTCTGCTCTATGCTTCTAGTCCCTGAGGGTGACCTCGACGCTTTTGACATCCCGACCCCTCGCACTTATGCTGAGGCGGTCTCGGGACCCTGGGCCTCTCAGTGGATAGCTGCCATGGAGCAGGAGATGGCATCTTGGAGTTCCACCGGCACCTACGTCGACGCAGTTCCCCCACCTGGGGTGAACGTAGTCGATGGCCGCTGGCTCTTCAAGGTGAAGCGCCCTCCTGGAGAGCCGCCTGTGTTCAAAGCGCACTACATGGCTAGAGATTTCAGTCAGCGTGAGGGGGTGGACTTCTTCCAGACCTTCGCTCCGACCCCAAAGATGACTACTCTTCAGGTGCTGCTGCACGTAGCAGCTGAGCGTGACTACGAGCTTCACTCCCTCGACTTCTGTACTGCGTTTCTTCAGGGTAGTCTACACGAGCAGGTCTACCTGCGCCGCCCTCAGGGCTTCACTGGTACCTTCCCTCCTGGGACCCAGAGGCTGTTGCGGCGCCCCGTCTACGGCCTGCGGCAGGCTCCCCGTGAGTGGCACGACACGCTGGGTGCTACGCTTCCTAACCTGCAGTTCTTTCCGTCCTCTGCAGACCCCTCACTCTTCGTTCATGCTGGCCAGAGCCCGTTCTACATCCTTGTTTACGTAGACGACCTGGTCTTTGACACACCAGACAGGGACGCACTGGCCTCCGTGAAGGCAAGAGCTGCTGAAAAGACACACTTGCACTGACCTTGGAGAACTGTGCCACTACCTTGCACATCTCCAGGGACAGAGCAGCGCGCACCATCACTTTGACTCAGTCACACTTGGTCCGCCAGGTCCGTCAGAGGTTTGGCCTTCAGTTCTCCTCCGCACAGCCCACTCCTCTGCCTCTAGACTACAGGCTCTCCGCTCCAGTTCCTGAGGAGTCAGCAGAGCCCAGTGGTCCTTACGCAGAGCTGGTGGGTTGCCTCATGTACCTGATGACTTGCACTCGCCCAGATCTCGCATACCCTCTCAGCATCCTGGCTCGCTTTGTGGCTACAGGCAGACACTGACCTCAGCACTAGTCTGCCGCTAAGAGGGTTTTGCGTTATCTTGCAAGTACATCGGGCATGGGGTTAGTGCTAGGAGGACGCAGGCCAGTGGTCTTTACAGGACACACAGACGCTTCTTGGGCAGACGACGCCGAGACCCTCTGGTCCTCGCAGGGCTACTCCTTTAGCCTTGATGCAGGTGCCATCTCGTGGAGAGCTACCCGCTCCTCGTCTGTTGCCCAGTCCAGCTGTGAGGCCAAGATCTACGCCGGTGCCATGGCGGCACATGAGCTCCGCTGGCTGACCTTCTTGCTCACTGACTTGGTGTAGACTATGCTGGATTGAGCGCAGAGAGTCTGTGGTCTACTGGCAGAGGGGTGGGCTGTGCGGAAGAGAACTGAAGGCCGAACCTCTGAAGGACCTGGTGCACCAAGTGTGACTGTGAGTGAGTGATGGTGCGCGCTGCTCTGTCCCTAGAGTTCTGCAGCGGCACAGGTAGCGGCGCAGCTCTCCTAGGTCAGTTCAGGTATGTCTCCTCAGCAGCTCGGCCTTCACGATTCTCTTCTTGCTAATTATTCTATTATTCTAACAAATTCGGAATCTAATCGTAGCCGTCAAGATGCATGTTTGCAAATGTGACGGTCCATGAACAACTTCCAATCTGCGAGCTGAAAAATACTTGCTGTTTTTTTTGGCGTGATTCGTACACCCTCAGCTCAAAGTTCATACGCAGTGCGTTTGAACAATTTGGGATGCGGGTTTTAAATCCGTGGACCTATAATTCTTATTACACATGGTATGACCTCTATAGTATGAGTCCTTGTAGGATACGACTGTACATTTTGGGTTTTGGAAGGTGTATGGAACAACAGTACACTATACGGAGTGTTGCTGCTGACATGGAATGACAGTTCCGGGGCATGCTGCTGACATCCACGCAGGTGTTCTACTTCCAAGTTTCCCGTGGTAGCACCTAGTGTAGGGCGTCTCGTCGGACGACACGTCGGTCGACACCTCGGACGACACGCGATGCGTTGTGTCGATTCCCTCAATGGAACATCTACGCCTAGCGACGTCGCCGTTCAGCTACTACCGCTGCTGCTCCCCCCACATTTGCCCCCACCGCTTCCAGAACACGCTGCTTCCGTCCCCCCTTACGCGCAAACAATGCTTCCGCCAGCCATGCTATCTCGCGTACCGCGCGCGGCGGCAAGGCCGGGGGGCGGAGAACGCTGCGCCGGTGGGTGTAGCCGCGAGAGCGGTGCCTGGTGACAGAGAGGGGCATGTGGGAGGGCACGTGGGAGGGCACGTGGCGGAAGAGAGGCAGAGGGTACACTCTCAGGACGGCAGGTGGGTGGGCGCGTGAGGAGGAGTCAGGGAGAAGCGGGGTCCGTGGAATCAACGGGAACGAGAGGTGGCAGGCCGGTCCACGAAAGGAGGTGCAGAGGGGCCAGGCCCAGTCACTCTGCGCAGGCAGGGAAAACAAACACTTGAACCGCACTCAACCACACTCAGCTGCTCTCTCACCTCACTCACCCGCACTCTGCCACTTCAGCTTCTTACTAATCGGCCACTAATCGGCAACTCCCCCAATCCCGCTATCTCCCCGCCCCTTTCCCCCCGCCCTGCTTGCATGGTTTTGAGGCGTCTCAGAACAGGACTTCCCTCGCCCCGCCCGCCCTGCTTGGAATGTGCGGCGCAACGATAGTGACAGCACTGGCGGCCAGTGCAGGCCTGAACCCCTGTCAACCGCACTCAACCGCTCTGGCCCACGCTTACTCCGGCTTCCTCTCACCACCCCACCCCTTCCCCTTCCCTGCCTGCAGCGTGGAGCGCAATGAACGACAGTGGCAGCAATGGGCCCCTGGTGAAACCTAGTTTTGAGGCGCCTCAAAACTAGTATCCACCCCACCCCTCCCCTTCCGTGCCTGCAGCGTGGAGCGCAACGATAGTGGCAGCAGCGGGCCCCTGGTGAAGCCATCCCCAGAGGTGAGTGAGCCAGGGATGGGGACTCGAGTTGGTCTTTGAGATATCTCGAAAACAAGCGCAACGACAGTGGCAGCAGCACCGGGCCCCTGGTGAAGCCATCCCCAGAGGTGAGTGAGCCCGTGATGGGGGGAGGACACGTGGGACGTCTATTTTTGAGGCGCCTCAGAATTAGACTCCGGAGGTCACACAGGGATGGGTGGGGACACATGGGTGGGACGCGGGTGTTGGGAGAAGTGGTTTTACATGGCACATGAATAGTTTGACAAGCATACGTGCTCGTCGTGCCAAGTCAAACATCGATCGTGTCTCGCTCCCTCTTTTTGAGGCGCCTAAAAAATAGACTCCCCTCACACACGCGTCACTCGTGATGACTTGCTAAACCGCCTTCCTAACTGCGCTCACTGGAATTATGTCCGGAAAAATAGACTCCCTGAGGTGTGTTTTGAGTCGACTCAAAGCATAACTGCGCTCACTGGAATTATGTCAGGAAAAATAGACTCCCCTCACACACGCGTCACTCGTGATGACGTTTGAGTCGACTCAAAAATAGACTCCTCACGCGTCAATGGTGTCGCTCTCCCTCACTCGCTTCTTTCTCACTCCGCCACTCGCGTTCTCTCCCCCTCCTCGTCAGCCACCAGTTGTCAGCCCATCTAATCCATCGGGAAGTCAGCTGCTGCTAATGTGTCCCATTCGTCTCTCTCCTTATCCCTCCCCCTCCCCCCACACCACCACCCCGCCCCGCACGGCAGTTGTCAGTGCATGAAGCAGTGCGGCAGCAGATGGCAGCGCTGGCCTGCAACGACTCCCCACGCACCGACCATGGGCTAGAGGTGGGTTGCTGGGGGGGCTGGGAGCTGGGGGAGGTGGGGGCTGGGGGAGGTGGGCATCTGGGGGGGGTCGGAAGCTGGGGAAGGTGGAGGGCTGGGGTTCTGCGACGGGCATGGGGGAGCAGGACCGCCGTCGTATAGTGTATGGGATGGTGTTACGGAGCATAGAGTACGGGACGGATCATTGGGGGGTGCGGATGGGGAGGGGGGAGTATGATAGACCCAATCTCCTCCTTTGATCCCTTCTGTTCTCTGCCCAAACTGCCCTGGTGTTCTTTTCAGGTGCTCTATTACTTCGCGAATGCTGAAGGAACGCTGGCAAATCCCTCTACCATCTCCTCTTCCGCCTCCTCCTCCTCTTCCCCTCTCCCGTGCTACTTCGGGTTTGCAGCAGACCTCTACCACTTTGGCCATTTCGCCCTCAAGTTCAAAACAAGGTCAGATTCTGCTGCTGCTGCTGCCGCCGCCGCCGCCGCCGCTGCTGTGGCTCCTGCCCTCCCCACAAACACCTCACAAACCCCTCACAAACCCCTCACAAACCCCTCACGAAGCCCTCACAAACCACTCATAAACCCCTCACAAACCCCTCACAAACCACTCATAAACCACTCATAAACCCCTCACAAACCCCTCACAAACCACTCATAAACCCCTCACAAACCCCTCACAAACCACTCATAAACCCCTCACAAACCACTCATAAACCCCTCACAAACCCCTCACAAACCACTCATAAACCCCTCACAAACCCCTCACAAACCACTCATCAACCACTCATAAACCCCTCACAAACCCCTCACAAACCACTCACAAACCCCTCACAAACCCTCACAAACCACTCATAAACCCCTCACAAACCACTCACAAACCCTCACAAACCACTCATAAACCCCTAATATATTCATGAAATAAAAATCCTGTGAGGGGAAGCACCCATGAGTGAAGCATCGCATCGCTGGTACCGCTGGCTGCTGAAGCACGTCGAAGCTCGCTAGTCTCCTCTCCTCCTCTCCTCTCCTCCTCTCTTCTCCTCCTCTCCTCCCCTTCTCTTCTCCTCCTCTCTTCTCCTCCTCTCTACTCCTCCTCTCTTCTCCTCCTCTCCTCTCCTCTCCTCTCCTTGCACCCTCTCACCCGAGAAGCTTCCCATTACGCCCTGCCAGACCTAATCACTGCCCTGTATAATCATCCCTTCCTCTCAGGTTTCGGCGGCTGCTGAACCACGGTGGGGCCCGCATGCTCTCCTCTCTCCTTGCACTTCCTTGACCAGGCTCCCCCCCTCCTCCTCCTGCTACCCCCTTCACTCCCTGAACCCTCACCCATGCATTGTGTGTAATGAGTCGATCTTTGAGTCGATCTTTGAGTCGACTAAAAAATCGACTCATTACACACCCTCGTCCATCCATTGGCCCGTATCTGCTTTCCTTCCACCTAAATACCGGCCTGGCTGCTGAACCACGGTGGGGCCCGCATGCTCTCCTTGCGTCCCGTCAACAGTGAGGGCTCGTGTGTGAATCCATTGCTATTGAACCCCCTTCTTCGCCCTCAGCAGTGACACTTCCCTCCATTCAGCCCCCTCCGTCGCCCTGTTTGATACTTGTGTGCATGAATCCACTCTCCCAGGTACCGCCGGCTGCTGAACCACAGTGGGGCCCGCGTGCTCTCCTCGCGCCCCCTCAACCGTGAGGGCACGTGCGTGGAGTGCAGGATCGCTGTGCGAGTAGCGGATGTGATTAAACCGAAGGGGGGAGTGTTTGAAGTGGATGGGAGGGAGAGGGAGAGGAGGAAAGGGAGAGTGGAGGAAGGAGAGGAAGAGAGGGAAGCGGGAGTGGAGGAAGGGGAGGAGGAGTGGGTGATGCGGTTATCACATGTCCCTAGGGGTATTCAGCCGCCGTGCTGGCTCGTAGATTCCCTCCTGCCTTTCAGCAGTAGCCATGGAGTAAATGACTTGCACTTCAGCAGTAGCCAGCAGTAGCCATGGAGTATAAAACATGGAGTAAGTCCGGTCCGGTCCGGTGTGCTTGCTGGGTGCTCTGCTCTTGTGTGTATGGGAGTGAATGACTCGCACTTCCAGCACCATCACCACTGCACTTCCAGTACCCTGAAGTAACGGGGTGTTATGAAGTAACTCAGAAGCTGTGAGCACTGGGCACAGAGCACCACGTTCCCATTCAACACGCTTACTGTCAAGAGACCCACTGGGGTCGCCCTAGAAGATCTTTGGAAGGGCCACAGGTTGCTATGCCTAGGGGCCTTGTCAAATCAGATATTTATATATATATTTGTGTAGGCTTGGTAGTTGTGCTATATTGCTGGATCCTACTGTAGAGGGGACAACCCCCCCTTCTTGTATCTCCTCTTTCCTAGTCCCCCTCTCTTTTCTCGTAACCTGACCCGCTGCCTCAGCCGGTCGTCTGATCTTGCCCATGCTTTTTCCCGATCTCGCGTCTTTCCCCACGGCCGCTGACCTGGCCGCCCACCTGCGCACACTAGATGCGACTTGGCGCGCTGCCTGCACTGAGTCCCAGCTTCGTGTCTTTCAGCCACCCATCTGCTCTACCCCCTACCTGCTTGCCACACGCCTTCTTGACCGCCTTGCTACCGCCCGCGATCACTTCCTTCGTCTCCACCCCGTTGGCCTCACTCTCACTGACTTTGTCGACACCCTGTCTGCCATAGTGACCCACCAGCGCTCTATCGCCCAGTCTAGCGGTACTGTGCCGGTCACTATCTTTCTGGGTTGTGCCCCCGCTCAGTGTACATTCTCTGACGGTTCTGCTGCTGTCGCTGAGACAACGCCTGCTGTGGTGACAGCCGCCGCAGCGCAGTTCCGTCCGGGGAAGGGTCGCCGCCCCAAGTGTGGGCGCGGCGGCGGTAATGGAGGAAGGGGTGGAGGAGGTGGTGGAGCCAGGCCGCTCGCTGGTAGTATGGACGAGGGGACTGGGGCTGGTGCCTCCGAGCACCAGGAACAGCAGCAGCAGCAGCAGGCGCCGCAGCAGCAGCAGCAGCAGGGGCGGGCGGTGGTCTCCCGCCCGGGTGGCCTGGCGCTGGTGGTGGCGGTGGACGTGGTGGTCGAGCGCGCAGTGTGCCATCGGGTGGTAGTTCGGGTGACGGGCGCTGTCAGTACCAGCTCCAGACAGGTCCTCGCCGCCGATCCGTGTGCGGTAAGATCGGTTTCACCCCCGCCCGCTGTTTTAGTCTTCGCTTCGGCCCATCGCTCTCCTTTACCCTGGACTCTGGCGCTTCCCGGTGTTTCTTTCGCGACTCCACTACGCTGACGCCGCTTGCCACTCCCGCCGCAGTTTTCCTTGCCGACCCCTCCTCATATCTGGTAGCCGCCCGTAGCTCCACCACCCTTCCCTGTCCGGTGGTTCCTTCGGGCTCTCTTACAGGCCTGCACATCCCCTCGTTCTCTAGGAACCTAGTTGGTGTCGACTGCCTCCAGGACCTTGGCGACACCACTACGTTTCTTGGTCACGAGCAGTATGCTCTCTGTACCGAGGCCGCCACTGGTGCTCCCCTCACCACGTTCCCCCGGGACCCAGTGTCTGGCCTGTTCACGCTGGACACCGCCACCCCCTCGGTTGGGACGTCTCCCCAGGTGGCTGCGTCTACCTAGGCTGCTGCGGCCTGCTCGTGTCGGTCGCTTACTCACCCGACACTTCTGTGGCACCACCGTCTAGGTTACCCCGCGCTCCCGCGTCTGCGTCACATGTCTCAGCACGGTCTTGTCCTAGGTCTCCCAGAGTCGTTCCCTGAGTTGCCCTCCTCCCCAGCGCCGCTGTGCACGCCCTGCGTCGAGGGCCGGCTCCGCCGTGCCCCTCACTCCTCCTCGTTCCCCCCTTACTGCCGCACCGCTACAGACCCCGCACATGGACGTCTTGGGCCCCGCCCCCGTCCATGGGTCGCGTCGAGAGCGCTACTTTCTCGTGCTTGTCGACGACTAAACGCGCTACACCACGGTTTTTCCCCTGGAGCGGAAGGCGGACGTGCCTGAAAATCTCATCCCGTGGCTGGTCTCTACGCGTGTGCACCGCCATCTCCCTGTCTTGCATCTTCACTATGACCGTGGTGGCGAGTTTGCCTCCGGCGTCCTTCATCGTTTGTGTCGTGCGGAGGGCATCACCCAGACGTTCACCCTGCCGGACTCCCCGCAGCAGAATGGGGTCACTGAGCAACGCATCGGTTTGGTCATGGAGGTGGCTTGTACCTCCATCGTCCATGCCGGTGCACCCCATTTTCTGTGGCCGTTCGCCGTTCGCTACGCCGCTCACCAGCTTAACCTGTGGCCGCACCCCCAGCAGCCGCAGGTTTCGCCGACCCTTCTTTGGACCAGGTCCCCTGGTGACGCGTCTGCGTTCCACGTCTGGGGCTGCCTTGCTCACGTTTGTGCCTCTGGCACGGACAAGCTCTCTGCCCGCACCGTCCCCTGTGTCTTCCTCGGTTTCCCCCTCGACTCGTCTGACTGGCACTTCTACCACCCGTCGTCTCACCGTTTCTTTCACTCTCGCGACATCACCATTGACGAGTCTGTCTCCTTCTACCACCGCTTTCCCCACCGTGGTCCCCCGGTTACTCCCCCCCTGTTCGTGGTTCCCCCTACCCTGGTCGCCCCTACTCCTCTCCCTCCCCGCCCTGCCCCGTTTGGTGTGTCTCACGTCACCCCCCTCCCGTCGGTTGTCTCGGTCGATGAGTCTGCTGACTCTAGTGGCCCTGCGGCACAGTCCTCCCCACCCGCCCCTCCCCCGGTGTCTCCTCCTCTGTCGTCGCAGCAGCCGTCGTCGCAGCCACCGCCGCCGCCGCAGTCGTCGTCGCAGCCGCAGTCGCCGCAGCCACAGCAGTAGCAGTTCGTCGACCCTGGGGGTGCTGGTGTTGAGGAGGGTGCTCGTCCTGGGGTTCCTATCGTGGCTTGTCCCGGCAGGCCTGGGGGTGGTACCGGTGCTGGAGAGGTTCCTGGTTCTAGGGGTGCTAGAATGGAGTGTTCCGGAGTTGGCCGTGGAGCAGCTGGCAGTCCCGGTGTCGTCGTCGTGCCGCCGTAGCAGCAGGCGCCGCCGGTGTCAGCCCTTCGCCTGCTCGGCCTTCCGTCCCCTGACTGCACGCCTGTGCCTCCTCCACCGTTTACTCCTCTTCTTGTCTACGGCCCCGTGTTCCCTCCTCCGGACTCGTCTCCGGCTCGTCTTCCTCTGCGTTCTCCTCCTGTGTCTCCTCCTCTGTCTCCTGACACGACACCGCCGTCTCACGTCTGGTCCCGCCGTCCCTCTCGTGCTCGTCTTGTCTCTCCTCTTTCGCGCTCTCACCCTATGCTGCTCCGTTCCCATGCGTCTCCTCCTCCCCTCCTGCCGATGCCTCCTCCGTCCTCTCTTGTTGTCGCGCTACCCCCTCTGTCTGGCTACCTTTGTACAGCTCGTCCTCTTGTTCCTCAGGTCCTTGCCTCTCTCGTTATTGACCCGTCTGTTCCTGTTTCGCGTCTTGACACTCTTGTCACTGCGGTCGCTGACTTTGCCTCTACCCGCCGCCTTGACTACGCCACTGCTCTGGTCTCTGACCCTGCTTGTCCTCCATCCGTCGGGAGTGCTCCTACCCACGGCAGTCACATCCTGAAGGACCGGCAATACGAGCTTGCTTTCCTGTCCGAGGCTGCTCCCCATCTCTGTTCCATGCTGCTAGTCCCTGAGGGTGACCCAGACGCTTTCAACATCCCGACCCCTCGCACCTACGCTGAGGCGATCTCGGGACCCTGGGCCTCTCAGTGGATAGCTGCCATGGAGCAGGAGATGGCATCTTGGAGATCCACCGGCACCTACGTCGACGCCGTTCCCCCACCTGGGGTGAACGTAGTCGATGGCCGCTGGCTCTTCAAGGTGAAGCGCCCCCCCTGGAGAGCCGCCTTTGTTCAAGGCGCGCTACGTGGCTAGTGGCTTCAGTCAGCGTGAGGGGGTGGACTTCTTTCAGAACTTCGCCCCGACCCCGAAGTTGATTACTCTTCAGGCGCTGCTCTACGTAGCAGCACAGCGTGACTACGAGTTACACTCACTCGACTTCTCCACTGTGTTTCTTTAGGGCAGCCTACACGAGCAGGTCTACCTGCGCCGCCCTTAGGGCTTCACTCGTACCTTCCTTCCTAGGACCCAGTGGCTACTGCGGCGCCCAGTCTACGGCTTGCGACACGCGCCCCGTGAGTGGCACGACACATTGCATGCTACCCTTGCTGACCTGCAGTTCTTTCCGTCTTCTGCAGACCCCTCGCTCTTCGTTCGTGTTGGCCAGACCCCGTTCTACATCCCTGTTTACGTAGACAACCTGGTCTTCGCCACTGCAGACAGGGACGCACTGGCCTCCGTGAAGGCAGAGCTGCTGAAGAGACACACCTGCACTGACCTATGAGAAATGCGCCTCTACCTTGGCCTCCAGATCTCTAAGGACAGAGCAGCGCGCACCATCTCTCTCACCCAGTCACACTTGGTGCGCCAGGTCCTTCAGAGGTTCGGCCTTCAGTTCTCCTCCGCACAGCCCACACCTCTGCCGGTAGATCACAGGCTCTCAGCTCCAGTTCCTCAGGAGTCAATAGAGCCTAGTGGTCCTTACGTAGAGCTGGTGGGTTGCCTCATGTACCTGATGACTTGCACTCGTCCAGATCTCGTATACCCTGTTAGCATCCTGGCTCGCTTTGTGGCCAGAGGCAAACACCGACCACAGCACTGGTCGGCCGCTAAGAGGGTTTCGCGTTATCTAGCAAGTACATTGGGCATGGGGTTAGTGCTAGGAGCACGCAGGCCAGTGGTCCTTACTGGGCACACAGACGCTTCTTGGGCAGACGACGCTGAGACCCTCAGGTCCTCGCATGGCTACTGCTTTAGCCTTGGTTCAGGTGCCGTCTGGTTGAGAGCTACTCGCTCCTCGTCTGTTGCCCAGTCTAGCTGTGAGGCCGAGATCTACGCTGGTGCCATGGCGGCACAGGAGCTCCGCTGGCTGACCTTCTTGCTCACTGACTTAGGTGAGCGGCCTAGCTCTGCCCTAGTCTTGTACGGTGACAACATGGCCATGATCCTCCTGTGTCAGGAGCCTCAACTTGAGGGTAGAGCGAAGCACATCCAGCTGCGGTACTTCCTCCTGCACGAGCTACAGCAGCGCCGCCAAGCTCGCGTAGTACACTTGCCCTCCGGTGCCAACACAGCTGATATCTTTACGAAGGCGCTTGCGCCTAAAGGTCATCAGCGGCACTGTGTACAGCTAGGTCTCGTTCCTGTAGCCTCTCACTTGCTAGGGCCTTGATTATGTACAGACATTTATATATATTTTACCCTGACTGGCCTTGTGGCCTCTCCCAGTGGCTGGACTAGTAGTGTCGCCCTGGTCTTGCTCTTGCC